CGGCAGGTTGCCCAGGCTCCCGTGACAATCTCTGCCTCCCCAGAAGAGGAGGGCTCAAACTGACCTCCCTCCTACCTCCGAGCTATGGTGAGCTGGGGGTAAGGAAGCTTGTCCAGAGGGCACGGGGCCTGAGGATAACCTTGATATTAGCGCCGAACCAAGCGCAGCAGAAGCCCGGCCCCATGGACAGGAAGCACCTTCCTGGCTGTGTGACAGTGGGTCAGTGTGTGTGCCTCTCTGAGCCCCGGTCTGTAAAAGGGAGCACGGACCGTCAGCCTTTCAGCCATTATTAATGAAGCCCGGATACAGAAACCATCAAGTCTAAAGGCCCTGAGATGCCTCCACGGGCCGCCCTGTACCGAACAGGGAAGGTGCCCAGCGCCAGGCCAAACGCTTGAGCCGGCTTACCCCAGCACCTCACAGCCCCCTCGTGAGGGGGTTATCACGTCCGTGTTGCAGATCTAGGAAACTGAGCTTGGGGGTCTCTGTGGCTGGAACTGTTCCAGCGGGAAGTGAACCCTGATGGAGCCGCGCCCTTCCAGGCACAAGCTGGGCCAATCAACCCGAAGGGGGCGCGTGCAGGCCGGCTCGAAGAGGCCCCTTGCCCCCGCACCCAAACACAAACAAAGGCTCCTCCCTCCCCCAGGAATTTTTGTTGTGGTTTTAACTCTCCTGGAAGACAGCCAAAGAAAGGGGAACCTAGACCCGCCCGGCTCCCAGCCCCAGCACAGTGACATCAGCCCCGGGAACCATGAACTGCTCTCAGCCAGGAATGCAGTCTGAACTCTTGCCTTTTCTGAGAAAGCTTGGACAACAGCCCCTTGACAGCCGGCCCCCGCTGCCTCTTTCCTAGACTTCCCTCAGAAATAGGTTAAAACAACCTTTGGTGCCTCTGCTTTGGCCCTTCACGCCTATTCCTGAGATAATACCAGGATGTTTATTGTTCTCATAGAGAAAAAAAGACATAGCCGTGTAGACCAGTGTTTTTATGATAAAATCTAAGTGTCTTCCAGCAGCCCCGCAGGCCCTCTGTGATCCGCTGGCTTCCCGGCTCACCTCCTTGTTCTCTCTGCCCTGCTTCTACCACTGGGTCGGGTTTCCTAAATCTCGAGGCCAGAAGCACTCCTACCTCAGGGCCTTTGCAACTGTGGTTCCCCTGACTTCCCGGAATGTTCTGTCCCCAGGTTCCCAGTACTCCCTCTTGTCATGTCACTCCTCTGAGCTCAGCCAGCCACATGGCTGGAGCTGGTCCTCCCCTGCCACAGACCCCTGATGGGGGCTTCTCACAGCACACAGCAGGATGGCTTCTGGAACCACCCTGTTCACCGGTCAGTTATGCACTGTCATCTGTCTCCATTCACTGGACACAGACCCACGCAAGCGAGTCTGTCTGAGTGCACTATGCCCTCTGTAGCTACACGTTGGCCTGGCTCATCACAGGTGTTTTTAAAAGGATGGGAGGAAGGGAAGAAGGGGGTGAGGGAGGCCCCTGGAGAAAGATCTTAGGCAGCAATGCGCTGGAATGCACTAGAACCATGAATAGGACGTCCCCTGCAGAGGAACCCACAGCACATGGCAAATGCCCCCGAGTGTCAGACATCTAACAAACAGCCCAGTCTTAGGACTTTGACTTGAGGGGTTCTCTGGGGCACCCCGCAGACCAAGAAGGCGTGTATCAGGAGAGCCTGAGAGCCCTGGTGAACCTTGCCCAAGCCAACACAGGCTCCCTAGAACCAACGAGCAATCACAGTGCGCTTTCGAAGGTGACCTGCAGCTGAGTTCTGCCAGCCCCCGGAGGGCGCACTCACGGTAGGCGGCAGCCACGCTGTGCCCAGGACACAAGCTGCCAGCAGCAAGAACAAGCCCCCGATCACGGGCCTCCAACAGAACCCCGTGACTCTACTGGATACGGGCTGACACTCTTGCCTCGCAGACCAGGAAACAGCTGGACCCGTGTTACCCCTGCACCTCACATAACCAAGATCACCCTGCTGGTAAGTGGCAGAGCCAGGATTCGAACCCCAAGTCTGACCTGCACATCCCTGCTGCTCTGTGTCTTTGCTCTGAAGAGTGGCAGTTGGGCCTCTCTGCCTGTGACTCGCTCACAACCACTGGGAACCTGTGCTCCTCTGGTCCCTGGGCATGGCCCCAGGGTACGCATCCAGCATGGGTGCCAGACACGCAGGAGGGTGTAAGAGCCGGGGTGGGCTCTGCCAGCTCCTCCTCAGGACAGAGCTGACCTCGGTACTTTTAATATTCTCCCTCTGGCCTCCAATCCAGCCTGATGCTCCAAGTTCATCTCTGTCTCAGGCTCTGCCCGCCACCCGCCCCCCACTGTTATCTCTTAGAGGACAGGGTCGAGAACGTGGGTGGGAGGGAAGGCACCCAAGAACCTGCAGCCAGCGAGCCGCCTTGTCGTGCACAGATTTTCATTTGTTTAACCCAACAAGCCAGTTCCCGGTGACCCCTCTTCAGGCCCGCAGCCCCGGGGAGGGGGCAGAGGAGACCCCAGGCTCTGGAGATGCAGCCTCCCATTCCGTTTCGGGGAGTGGCCCTGGCCTGAGAGATTCTACAAACGGAAAACGGCTTACAGGCCACCAGACTGCCGTGGGAAAGAATACGTTTCCTATGAATGCAAGAGCTTCCTTAGGACACATCACTTACCGTCACTCCCTGAATACAACTGTTCAGGAAGAGGGGTGTTATTCGTGCGTGGGAGGGTCCCTCTCGGCCTCCCCTCTGCCACCCTGAGCAGCAGGGGACGTGTCCTCTGCTCACCTGGACGTCAGAATGGACAGAGGTTAGGAAGTGGCCCCTGATCACTGGGCAGGGCAGGGCAGTTCCCCCAGTTCTCGGACCAACTGCGCGGCAGGAAGCCACGGTGGGTAACCAGCTGGGTTTGATCAAAAGGTCTGGGCATGAGCTGGAGTCCTGGGGATGGGGTGGGTGAGGTCTGACCACGGCCCTCTGTCTCTTTCCTCCACCCCAGGGGCGGCACAGTCAAGAGGGGAGCTCCTGGCCGGCTGCCTGTGGTGGGCAGTAGGGCCCCCACTGGCCCTGAGTCGTGATCAGGGCTGCAGGCTGGGCCCCTCCCAGCTCAGGCCCCAAGTCCAAGGTTTCCATTTACCCCTCAATCCTCTCCTTGCCCCAAAGCTGGACATTCATGCTGCTACTTTGGGATTCCCTTTTCCCCAAGCTGCAGGGGCAGCTCTTCACAGCCCAGAGGGTGGGCCACAGAAAGGCCCAGTATCTCTATCTGCAAATACCCACAGGAAGCCTTATGACAAGAGGTATTTTCTTTTAAATATCCTCAGAGGACAGGTCTTAGACCAGGAAGTGGGAATTACGTAGAGGAAGGTTTGCCCCAGCAGCAGGCAGGCTCCCTGCTGCAGACCTCTGGGTCCCAAGATGCCTCCCGTGGAGGGGACTGGTAGGGACACTGTGAGACAAGTCAGTCGACCCGAGGCTCACTGTGGGGGCTACAGAATAGAGGAGGGCTGGCGGTGCCAGGAGGGTCTCACTTGGCCCCAGAGGGGCTGGGGGCCAAGTTGGGCACTCACCTCGACACAGGGCACAGAGCTCAGAAGCTGGCTGCCTAGGTAGTTGGGTGAAGGAGGACCCCCCGCCCCATTCTGGGAGAGAGGGACTGCCCAGACCCTTCCTGCTCAGGTGTTCTCAAATATTCTCACTCTCAAAAATAGTTTCCTGCAACTTACAACTGGTATTTTTAAGGGACCTTACAAATTTTCTGAGGATCAAAATTTCAGAGGATCAAAGGTTTTGTGAAGGGACTTTGGGCAAGGAAGTGTTTCATTTCTTCCAACAGGGGGACCGCATCTTCGAGTCAGGACTGCCAGGGCCCTGATCAGCGGGGTGGGATGTACTCAGGCCCCTTCCAGCCAGAGCTCCAGGTACGTTCCTGCACGGGACATCTGGGCAAATACTGTCCTTCACATGGCAACGTCTTCAGGTTCCGATGTGAGTCCCTCTTGGTGTCCTAGCCCCTCCAAACATCTGAGCAGTTTCAGAAACTACCCTGTGAGTCCTGGCCAGCCCCAACTTCCTCCAGAGAGTGAGCAAGCTGGTGGGTAAACAGCAGCTTTCCCCGGCCTGGACTCCAGTGGGTAAATTCCAGGGGCCTCCAGGCCTGAGCTGTGGGCAGCCCCATCCTCTGCCCACAGGTCCCTCTCCAAGGCCCCTTGTTTGTTTACATGAGTCTGAAAGCCCTGGGGAGAGCAAGCCAGCCAGACCCAAGTCAGGACAGCTTTACTCCTTAGCGTGAAATGCGAAAGTCCTCAAGTCCACACGGGCCTACTAGCTTTTCTGAGAATCTGGAAGAAGGGAGGATGTCTGGGCGAAACCATGTTGCTTTCTGACATCCATATCCCAACCGTGGGTGCTGAGCGGCTGGAAGGCGAGGGAAGGGCTGGACCCACTGGGCTCCGAATGCATGGCAGGTGTGGGGAAGGCGCATCGCCCTGGGACAGCAGAGGGGTCACAGAGCAGGCAGGCACCCAGGAAGGGCCCAGGGCTCCCCTCCAGCGGGCTCTTCTCCAGACAGCAGCTGGGCGGGCAGGGTCTCCGGCTGTGGGTGAGGCGCGGCAGTGGCAGAGCGTCTGGGTCCTAAGGAGCCTCCCGCGGAGGTGACAGCTGGGGACCTTGTGAGATAATCAGTGACCCCAGGCCCCTAGCCCACTGTGGGGGCTACAGAACAGGAGTGGGCTGGCGGCACCAGGAGGGTTTCACTTGGCTCCGGCATGGCTGGGGGCCAGGCTGGGCAGTCACCTGGATGTGGGCACAGAGTGCAGCGGAGGAGAGGTGTGGAGGGGGGGCTGTTGCCAAGGTGGGGCCAGCCGATGACGCCTCAGCCCCTGACTTCCCTTCGACCCAGGACAAACCACCACAGGTGCTGGCTCAGTGCCCTGAGGGGCCACAGTACACTAACTGGGGGCTGCCAGCATGGTGGGAAGGTCTGGGGGGCATCACTCCTGCGACCCAGGGTGAGAGCTGAAGGCACAGGGCCGGTGCCTCCCGGCCTCTGCGGTCAGTGAGCTCTGGCCCCCGTGGCGCGTGTCTGATGCTTGGGGCTCCAGGGGCATCTTCCCAGCAGTGGCAGGAGACAGGTGCCCAGTCCCTGCTGTCCGTCTGCTGATCTAATAAACACTGCCATTCAGATCCTGCCCCTGGGTCGTCTCTCCTGCACAAGCCCAGGCTTCCTGAGGGTCTGGGCTGGGGCGCAGCAGGGTAGGGAGGCAACGAGAGACCCCTGGAACCCCCTTGCTCCAGGCTGCTCTACCCCTGGGTGCTGGAACCTCAGTTCTGGTCACAAGGACTTCTGCCCCCAGCCTGGTGCCACCAGGGCCACCCTGGCCTCCCGGGGGGGGCACCCCACTGTCCTCTCAGCCCCAACCCAGGCCAGGCTTCAATTCTCCGTGACGGTCATGGGCAAGGAGGCCTCCTTTCCTTCCTCTTCCACTGAGAACATGACATCCCCGCAGCTGCCCAGAGGTGGCTCTGTCTCCTGCTCTGGGAAGCGGGGGGCGTGGTCCACTTCCAGATCCTCCTCGAACTCAGGCCCCGCCGGCCCCACCAGACCCCGGCCCTCAGGCACCTCAGTCCTCACAGTCCCCACAATCACTGTGTCAGCCTTCATGATGTAGATCTTCTCTGCAAGGCAAAAGGAAGGGTGAAGTGAGGGGACCGGGGCCCTAGCTGGACAGGACGAGGAGGCAGGGGACGGTTCAAGTTCCAGCTCTGTCTCTCCTGTATGTGGCTTCGGGCCCGCGACCCAGTGTCTCTGATGCACAGTCGGTCCCATCAACCTCACAGGTGTCCTGAGGCTCAAAGGACATAGAACATCTAGAAACTGTGTGCTGGAGTGAAGGACTGGCCCGCTTGTGGGAGAGGCTCATGACCTTCTCAGCATTTAGGAGGGGATGGGATAGGGAAGGAGAGAGCCGCGCTGGGACAGAAAATGAGCCCTGGGCAGAGAAGGGGGCGACTGCAGCCCCACTGAGCAGCAGAGGCAGACAGCCATGCTGGCCACCATCCAGACCCTTCCACACACAACTCCCGAGTCCTCACATTACTGCCACGTGGTGGGCAGTCTGTTCTTGTCCCCGTGGACAGATATAAAGGACCTGAAGCCCTGAAAGGTTAAATGACTGGCCCAAAGTCACCAGGCAGTTAGTAGAACTCTCAGCAGAAACTCCCACCCAATGGCTACCCTTTCCACTCCCGTCCGCGAGTCTACATCAGAAACCTGGGGGGGGGGGGCAACGTGTTCTGGTTGGCCTGGGCTGCTCCCGGTTTTCGTAGTGAAAGACCTTTTCAGTTCAGGTAAACCCAGACAGTTGATGACAGTCTAAGGAAGCTCAGGCCTGTTAATAATGAATAGCAGCCTGTGAGGCTTTGCTTGGGGCCAGAGTTCAGTGTTTATTACTCATGGCCCATCTCCTGCCTTCACGGCTGGGCCTGGCCTGTGCATGGTAGGGCTGCCTGTGCATGCTGCTTGGATGAATCGTGGCTCCTGAGAGGCAGGACCCTCTGTGGTCCTCACCATCATCTGCTGGGGGTGGGGAGGGGCACTTCAGAGGCTCAGGGGAGTTAAGGAAGCTGTCCAAGAAACCGGGAAGGGAGGAACCTGGCCTACACTCAGCCTAGCTTCTCTGATGGCCTTGAGCTCGGGGCAGGGTCCCAGCTCTAGCAGCTTGGCCCTGGGACTCTCTCTGGAATCTCAAGAGGGAACTTGACAGCGGGGGTGGAGCAGGGGGCTCCTGACCTGCCTCTCTGGGTCACCCAGTTATGCCCCTCTGATCCAGGAGCTCTCCAAAGACCCCTGGGGGCCTTATACTGGCCACCCCATTGCATCAAGCTAGTCCTTCTGTTTTGGCTTTTCACACCTCCAGGAAAGAGGGAAGTGTTCAAAATAGCAGTGAGGACTAGAGGAAAGCTGCGAGTGCTGTAAGCTGTGGGTTGGGTGCCCCTCACACACCCCAAAAGAGAGAGCAGGGCCCCAGGCCCCGGCCAACACCCTCCACCGAGGCCTGTAGGCCCTTGGCCCCGGAAGCCTGTGCAGAGGGCCTAGGAAGAGCGGGAGCCAGAGGGGGTGAGAGAGAAAGGACCGTGGGGAACACGAGAGGGCCTGGAGCAGCCAGACAGAGCTAGAAGAGAAGACGAGGCATAGGGAACAGGGTGGGAGAGAAATGGAGGTGGGTTTGTCCGAAGAAGCCGAAGCCAGGGGCCAGGCTCTCCCTCCCTCACATTCCGAGGGTCCTGATTGCTCCAACTCTATCCGTCATCACCTGCCCCACCCCCCAAGCTGGGAACGGAAAGGAGGGTCTTTCAGGGGCTGTTCAAACCTTCTATCCCACCCAGGGCTCTAGAATCCAGGGAAGTTATCTTAGTGGGCTGGAAGGTTAAGGGGCTCCCCCTGCCTGGTGCCCAGGGGCAGAGGGATAAAGCTCGGGCTGCAGTTTGGTCCCCCCTGGGGTACTAGACGGGTTCTGTGGGGCATGGGGTGCTCCTCGGGGATGGTGTCAGAAGGATGAAAGGCTCCCGAGCAAACCTCCAAGGCCCTCTCTCCCAACCACCCCGCTCACCAGCAAGGCTAACAGGCGGTTGGAGCGGGCTGCCCACACCCCCGCCGTCCTGGGAGCCCGGTGCATCCCTCCACCTGCCCCTGAAGCTCTGGGGCACTGCACTCAGCACCGATCCAAATGTTAAAGTTAAGACTTCTTAGGAAATTTAAAGGAGATGCCTGGGGTGGTATTACCCCAAATAACACTCTTCTTAAATAAAACCTGCTGAAAGCTACAGCGCCAAAAGTTTTGGTTTTGTATGAAAGACCCTGCCCCAAAGAGTTCTACCCACCAGTTCCTGCTGTAGAAATGTGTAGGATGATTACAGATGCCTCTCTGGTATTATCCCGGCAATGCTTAACCCTCCAGAGAAGACAGAGATGGAGCTCACTAAGGCCCTGCCCTCAGGGAGCTCACAGCCAGATGGGAGGGAGGCAGGGGGGCAGAGGCCACAAACCCAGTCATACTGCAGGGGGCTGAGGATACTGGGTCTGGAGGTCCGGGATCTGAGGGAGCACAACAGAGGGGCATTGGTTTAGACAGGAGAGTGGAGAGGGCCAGGAAGACTTCCTGGAGGAGGAGGCAAATAAGCAGGGGTTTCAGGACATCAGGAATTGACTAGATTCAAAGGGGGAGTTGGCTGTCCCAGGTGAGGAGGCAGCTCCCACAGAGAAGCTCTGAAGGGAGAGAGGGCTCTGTGAGCTCTGGAAACTGCCAGTGAGTGGGCAAAGCAGGCTGGAGGGTTCAGGATGCAGGGGAGTCTGGTCGGTGGAGGCAGCTCGTGAGCAGTGACCAATATGAATGCCGGAATAAGAGTGCATCCTGGGATTCATCCTGACAGTGACAGGAGTATTGAAGTCGGGTGCAGAATGGACAGGCATGTATTTCGGTAGAAACACTCTGCTGTACCAGGGTGGAGAGAAGCCGGAGAGGAGGCAGGGAGACCCTTGGGAGGCCAAAGCGGAAGGCCTGCCTCGGGTAGAGGGCGGCCGCTGCTCCGGAAGGGCTGGTCTCTGCAAAGGCCTGCGCCAGGGTGGGCCAGCCAAGGGGTTCAGAGCCCCGCAGGTGTGGGATGGGGCCAGGTGCCTGCTCTGCCACCCCGAAACTGGGTGACACAGACAATCTCCCCGCACCCACCTGACAGTGCCCTTGCCCCAGGTGTGAAAAGAAGAGGCAGGCGCTGTCCTCAGAAGGCCACATGACAACGAGAGAGGACTTCTGTCCAGACAAGTGGCCGGTCTTGTTGTCACTGGAATGTCTCCTCCTGTCCCCGCAAAGGGCTCTTTGCTGGGGGTGGGGGAGGCGTTCGGGGCTCACTTCAAAGTTGGCAGGCCCCCCCAGGCAGGGGGGAGCCCCTCTCCCCGACCTTCACCTGCCAACACAACTTCACAAGCGCCTGCAATGGCCCTGTGAGGGCGGGATCACTACTACATCCATTTTACAGAAAGTTAAACTGGGCCGCCGAGATGGAATAGGCTTTAAGTCTCTCACGAGAAGCTGTTCCTACTTGTGAGGGTGGGCAGGGGAACCCACTCCCTTCCTCACCAGGCCTTCCTGCCCCAGGGTCTCTGGGTCCCATCGGGGGCCCAGGGTCCAGTGCCCTGCTCCCCCTGCTCCCTCAGCCCTGAGCACACAGGGACCCCCCGAATCGGCAGACTCACCGATCCTGTTGTTGGTATGCTCCGAGGTCACCCGGGGGGGGCTCGGGGAGGTCCCTGGGGGACGAGGGGCTCCCGGCGGGAGGGCTAGCTTCCAGCAGCCGCATGCTCTCTCGGCAGACTGCCCCGCCGGGGGAGGTCTCCGCAGCCGGGGGGCTCAGCAAGCCCAGCTCTTCCGTGCCCGACTCCACCACCGACACACTCTTCAGCTGCTGTGGGCACAGAGGGGGTGGAGTTGACAAAGGGTGCCCCCAACCGCCCTGGGAAGCCCCCGTTTCTTCACCTCTAGACTCCAGTGAGTCTCCCTCTCTGCCTGAAGGTTGCCGCACACCACCCACGGCTTCTCGGCGTGGAGAGCCTGGTGCCCTGTGCTGAGTTTCAGAAGTCCTGTTGCTTTTTACTCCTACTAAATAACCAGAGCAGCCAGCATCCCCTACAGCGCTCACCGCGTGTGTGGCCTCCACACGTGTGAATCCTCACGACCGCCCTGTAAAGTGGCTAATATCAGCACCCTCCCATTTCACAGGCCAGGAAACTGAGACCCAGAGGAGTCAAGGAACTCGCTCAAGTAAGTGTGTGGGCCAGCACTTGAACCCCGGCACCTCGCTCTGGAATCCATGCTTATCAGCCTGTCTGGGTAAGTGCGCACTCCAGGCCCACCGCAACTGCCCAGCCCTGACCTCCTGGGACGGCGATCGGTTATGATGACACTAATGTATTCTAAAACCAGCTGTGTCTTCAGTTAAACGGTGGTTTCATTTTTGACTTTCATAGGTAAGTATAAAAGAAGAGTGGTCTCATAGAATGTTCTAACGCACAATATGTACCTTCAGCCTTCAAAATGGACTAGGTTCGAGTGCTTCATAAAGTATAGCCACACAGCCATGACTATCCTTTCACAATCATCTGAAGTCCAAACGATGGCATTTTAAACAAGTTTCTATGAAAACATGGACTCATGATAATCAAACAATGTTTGATTATCTCACCAATCATTAAATGCCTTTTTCATCAAATTTCCTGGTATTGTAACAGCCACTTATCTGACCCAAGCATATTTGTGAATGTGACCTCCCATAATTTGAAACTGAACTCACATTGTGGTTCCGGCTGTTATATTAAGAAATTAAAGGACGGAAACCTTTCTCCATGTATGAATGTTTGAGTTGAAAGAAAGTCACGGAAAAATTGATAAATGGAAAAAACAATGGGTGAACCATACACAGCTGAGATGCAGCCATATGGAGTGTTTTGCCTTACCCCATCCCTCAGCCCCAGAGGGCAACCCCCCTTCTCTTACCAACCCCCCCCCCCCGCCCACCCAGCGTGCTCCTGGAGGCTGGGCCCAGAGCAGGGCACCCAGCCCAGCCTGGGCCCTTCCCTGGTAACTGTCAGTTACCAGCAAGGCCCCTGGCCCGGCACCTGCCCACAGCAGCAAGCTCTTTGTCAAAGGCAGGTGAAGAGGTCCTTCCAGCTCAGGGCAACAGTGCAGGGTACCAGCTTTGAAGCCCCACAAACCAGGGTTCAAGTCAAACCAGGGCTTGCTGATCTATTTTCCAATCGCGAACCCAGCTCTCCCGTCCGCGCCTAGGTTCCTTCTTTTGTAAAATGAACAACAGTACCAACCTTCGAGTGCCGTCAGGACAACCCGCGATAACTCTGAGGAGCACAGAGCAAGTTGCCTGTCTCATGGCAAGTGGTCCACACAGGATGGCTACGTGTTCACACTTTTTTTTTTTTTTTTTTGAGAAAGTGAGAAAGAGAGCATGTGTAGGAGAGGAGGGGCAGAGGAAAAGACGGAGAGAGAATCTGGAGAAGGCTCCATGCTCCACGTGGAGCTCGAGGTGGGGTTCGATCTCACAGCCTGAAATCCCTCACAGCCCTGAAAACCTTGACCTGAATTGAAACCAAGAGTAGGATGCTTCACCGACTGAGCCACCCAGACACCCCTGTGATAGCTGAGTTTTCAAAGAATCATGTTATGGATTTGTTTTCCCAGTGGAGTGAAGGAGAAAAGGGAAATGACCCCACCTGGCACCCAAAGTAGCCCAAACCAAATCCATGGTCTGCCAGACCCTTCTGGAAGTCCCCGGCAGGATGAGCCAGGAGCCAGAGACTACTGAGGGGGTGGGGCTCCCCGTCTGTGCTCAGAACACACCCCGTGGAGCAGACCCAGCCTGAACTTGCAGGGGGAGCCCACACCCCCATCACCGTGGGAGTGGAGGGACCCACCAGTAGCTCTTAGAACCAGGGGAGCAGTCCGATTTAGGGGCACAAAAGCGAGGGAGGCAGGGCGACAAAGGGCTACTTACTGTCGGGTTCCTCCCAGGCCTGGAATCTGCAAAAAGAAAAAGAGTAGTGACTTCACCAAGGAGGGTCTGGCAGCTGCCTGGTCTGCCCAGCCCACATATGGGAGGCAGTGACACCTGTCAGACACTCAGGCTGGATGACAGGGGACAGTTACAGAACCCTCGCCCATGCCTAGACAAAGAGGCTCACTTCCCAGCGCTCGCCTCAGCAGTGGCTGTGGGAGAACTGGGAACCACCTCTCCCCCAGCCACGAAGCCAACCAGGACACTGGACTCCTTCTCCAGTCCCCCGCCCCACTCAGGCACAGGAGAAGTTCGGGAGCGGCACACACCACAGCTGGAGCCGAGGAGGCAGCCTCTGCTGCCTCAGAAGTTGGTTTGGGGCAGCCCCCACTCCCTTGCAGCCCCCAGGGTCTAGAGAACCCAGAACTCCCTGGAGCGCCACGCAAAGCTCCCACGGAGGACCTCAAGCCTGGGTGGGGACAGATGACTCATCCTGAGGACCTTTGCTAAAACCCACACTGGACACACCCAGAGTCAATCGACCCTGAAGGCCTTTGGTGGGAGATCTGTTTTTTATTACAAGTGCCAGAAAGATCCCGTGTGACCACCTTCGAGGAGGACAGTGGCTCGTCACCATCCCACCGCCTACCATCCCTCTTCAGCGGGGCTCAGGAGGGGCTGATTCACTGATTCTTGGGCTACAACTTTATCTTCTCATCCCAAATCCCCACCAGCCACACCAGTACTTCTCTCATATCAAATATGGGGTCAGGTTACGGCCAAGCATAGATTGACATTTTCCCATGGCCCAATGGCCACCTGACAAGGTAGGAGATTAGGCGCCCAGGAACCTGGTCTACACTGGGCAGATCAACTCCCGGTGTAGACCGTTGTCTGGGGACACACAGCCCTTGAGGAGTCCTGAGGAGGCCCTCTTGGAGCCTTGGAAGTGTTGTTCCAAGCTGCTGTTAGGCATGCATACCTGACCAGAGAAATCTGCTCTGGAAATGCCAGTGAGCTGCATCATCTCCAGAATATTCTGACCTCAGCAGCTCTAGGAACCAACAGCCCTGATCCTAGCTGAAAAGCTCACTGGAGGCCAACCAACTAAGCTACTACTAGTAAGACAAGAGGTTTGAACGTGCTGTGTAGACACTAGGTCAGTTGGGGGACACACTTTCATGTGCTTCTAAGTGACTATCAGCATGTAAAATGTGTCTAATGTCTAAAGAGGAAATGAACCAGAATGATGGTCAAAAGAAGAACATGTATGAAATGACACAATTTTGGATTCTTTCCTCTTCTTCTTAACTTTTTTTTTTTTTTTTTTTTTTTTTAGAGAGAGAGACAGTGATAGCGTGGGGGTTGGGAGAGAGGGAGAGAGAAAATCTCTCTTAAGCAGGCTCCATGCCCAGCACAAAGCCCAACACAGGGCTGGATCTCAGTCTTGAGTTCATGACCTGAGCTGAAATCAGGAGTTGGATGCTTGACCATCAGAGCCACCCAGGTACCCCACCTGGAGTCTTGATTTAACAAACGTTAAAGTTTCTTTCATCTGGTAACTGATGTTCCCAGCAGAGTGGTCATCTTGGGAGAATATGGTTCATTCCTGCTGGGTGGCCCCTGTTACCCAAGCTATCCCTTCAAGAAATGCTCTCTGGCCTGAGGCACATTCTTTTAAATGATGTCAGTGAAGTCTAATTTTTGCCCTTTGAGAGTAATGTTGACTTTTGCAAATAGCCAGCTGTGGTTTAGGTGGTCAGGGGGAAAGAGTTTTATTTATTTATTTATTTATTTAACAAGATAAAATAAAATAAATAAAAGTGATAAAACTCAGTCTTGGAAAGGATGTGGGTAAAAAGGAACACCATGGCTCATGCCCTGTGAACTGGTTCCATGTTTCTCAAGAGCCATCTGGCAGTGAAAACCTCATACTCTTTGACCTAGTAAATCCCGCTTCAGGGACACACCCTCAGGAAATAACCCAAGAGAACACAACAAGGCTGTCCGCAGAGGTGGTAGTTATAATCAAAAAACTGAAAGCAAGCCAGATGCCAAACAATGAGTCTTGAAGCAGAGCCCTTCCTAGAAAGGAAACCCCAACACAATATCTCTCCACCTTCCTAGCTTTACTTCTCGTGTCTGGAAAATGGGACACAGCATGCCAACTCTGGAGGGTTTTTATGAAGATGAAATGAGACCCAAAATGTGAAGGTACCCAGTGATCAGTCCCACTGAGAGCACGCACCTTGACATGATGTGGTAAGAACAATCCTGTGCCCATGTGGTCTTCCTCCCCCAAACCTGCCACCCCTACTGTCACCAGGAAGAAAATATTAGACAAATTCCTATCAAGGGGCATCCTGCACATAACTGGCCAGCAGGCCTCAAAACTGTGAAGGTTGGAGCCTGGGTGGCTCAGTCATTAAGCATCTGCCTTCAGCTCAGGTCATGATCCCAGGGTCCTGGGATCGAGCCCCGCATCGGGCTCCCTGCTCAGCGCAGAGCCTGCTTCTCTCTCTCTCTCTCTCTCTGCCTCGTCCCCTCCCCCAGCTCATGCACGCATGCACACTCTCTCTCTCAAATAAATAAACAAAATCTTAAAAAAAAAAAAAAAGAGTCTCTTACACACACCCACAAAACACCTAAGTAACCCTGGAGTGTGGGCTGCAGTTAAAGGTAACGTATCAGTACGACCTCAGCTACCGGACAGATACACTGAGGTAAACTGTGAGCAGTGGAGGCAGGGAGGACACCAAGTGTGCACAGGAACTCTCTGAACTATCTTTTCAGATACTCTACGCATCTAAAATGGTTCTAAAACTTGAAGTCTGCTGAAGATTTTTAGAAATTTAAATGTGAGAAAGGGACCGTTCCCAGGAGGCTGCCTGCCACGCGGCAGGCCCCGGGACACTAACATGGCGCGGCGCTCATCACACCAAGGAGAAAATCAGCACGTGACACTGGCTCTTGGAAACAAGCACAAAACAACAGAAAGGTGAAAAAGCCAAATCCAGAGGTACCAATGTCTATCTACAGGTGCCTGACAACCCACGTGTGTACTTTGATAAAAACCCAGGACAAATTGTGCTGAGAACAGAGGTCAGATTTCCTAAGTGTGCATCCCGGAAAAATGTGGCTTTAGTCCACGGTCTTCATTATTGGTTTCCTCGCTTGGGGGATTAACTACGATCTTTTCATAAACACATCTGGCACCTGAGGACACGAGTCCAGGGACACACGAAACGTTGGTGGCCCCCCCGGGGACAACTGCATGGTATCCCCAGGGCTGCCGTGAAGGCCACCCCAGCCGAGCCTGTGAGTTCTGACACCGATGCTAGCACTCCCGTCCGCCCCAGCCACTCCCCCCCTCTCAGTCCCAGCCCCCATCCGGCCTGGGGGCCTGGCTGCCGTGGGAAGCGGAAAGACCTGAGGAAGGAGGCTCAGACAGGCTTTGGCAATGGCACCCCTAGATTCAGATCTGGGCTCGTGGGAGACACAACTGATTCCAGGGTGAGGGCAGGGAAGGACCAGGTAAGTTGGGATCGTCGTAAAGAAGTGCTCAGAACACAGAAGGATGGGACAGAAGGACGCCAGGGCCAGCTTCAAGGGCCGAATCTGAACATTAACTAAATAATGATGGCAAGAGAATAAGACAGAAAGCCACGAGTACATGCAGATATAAATAGAGACGACGAAGAAGAAAGCGTGATGAGGAACCGGTTATTCAGAGAGCCTCGCAGTCCCCCGAAAGCACTTACTCCTTGCCAAGGAGAAAAGAACAGCCTCGTGCCGGAGCGGCCTGGGAGGCAGTGCTGGCGTCAAGTGCTCCCAGCCAGCCACGCCAGGAAAGGGACCAACTGGCTGGAAACTGGCAGGACGGCTGCCACCTGGGGAGCTCAGCATCCCCGCTGGGATCTTCCCGCCACCAGAGGCGCATGACCTGACTCCAGTTTCCCATCACAAGGACTGCACTGGGCAAACCCAAGGGGAGGGACGGCCAAGTCAGCGGGGGGATGCTCAAAGGTGGCAAAGTCACAAACGTGACGGAAAAGACAGGAATGGACCCAGACTGAAGGAAACTCAAGAGACGTGACAACCAGAAGCAACACAGGGTCCTGAACCAGATTCTTCTGCTGCGGAGGACATGGTTGGGACAAAGGAAGGATCTTGAAGGGGGTCTGAGAATTCGTCGGTGGTAACGCACCAGTGTGAATTCTCTGATTTTGGTGGCGTCCCTGCGTTGTATAAAAATACACCATGTTTGCATGAACACACACTACAGTATGATAAGCCATCGAGATACTCACTCGCCTCAAAAAGTTTAGAAAAATTAGTTCTTTGCATTTCCTTGTGACTCTACCCTAAGCTTGAAATTATTTCAAAACAACAACGAAAATTTTTTTTTCAACTTAAACCTGCCTGAAGTAACAGATAAGGACTTTGGCGTCCATTAAAACGAAGAAGTTTAGTCTGGGTTTCTCAACCAGGCACAATTCCCACCCCAGACTGTTCTTAACCGACTAGCCTTAAGCAAGCTCCTCAACCTTCCTGTGGGCCTGGTTTCTCATCTGGGAAATGGGGACAAGCCAGCGCCTCGCAGGTCCGCTGTGCATCTGGGCTCTGCTGCCGAAGACACGGGCCACAACGTGGAACTGACTGGAGAGACGGCTGGCAGGCGCTGGAGCTCCGGGAGAGGGAGGGCCGGGGCGCGCATCCCCGCCTGGCCAGCCATTAGTCCCTTGACGCACCTGACGCTCATCTAAACGCCAGAGGGAGCGAGGACCCGTTTCTGTACCCAGCACAGTCACTTGAACCACGATTTGAACACGTGAATGAGCCAGCACGTGAATGGACGCTCCCTCACCCCTTCAGGCCCCACTGCCCTGGGGGGCACCGGGGCATCGATACCCTCTGTCCATTCTCATCCTGAGTCCTGGACGCTTATCCTGGCTTCACCTTCCCTCCAGCTCGGGCCGGGAACCCAGACCCCGCCAGGGACGCACCGGAAGCCAGAGGGCCAGAAATAGCCCCAAACAGGATGGCTGCCACTGAGTCTCAGGGCTTGGTTTCTTGTAGGTCTAACTTCTTCAGGGAAGGTGCTTTTCTCTCTCTGTCTCTATTTTTCTCTGTGGCAAAACTGCCATCACGAAGGTTTGAAGAAAAAAATAAACTGACAGCAATGGAAATTCTAATACTAGAAAAATGTCAAGAAAGCAAACATGGGTTTCAATGAGACATTAAGGCTGACAGCTCATGGAAAAAGGCTTGAAACTATCAAAACACAAAAACCCCCCTTGCTAAGATCACAGCAGGTGCTTGTGAAACTCATCAAGTTTGAAACAGGCCTCAGTGGACGGGTTTTGTGCCTAAGTCCGAAAGCGGGCGGCAGTGAGGGTCTCCAAGGGTCCTGGGGAGATGGGGGGCAAGAGGGCCGTGACCTGGCCCAAGGCTGCCCACTGGCTCCTGTGTGGACACTGGAGAAAGGATGAAGCTTGAGGGGAGGGCGGCAGAGGGGACAGGTCTGAGCCCTCTACAAACAAAGCCCACAATCTCAAGGACCAGCTCCTGAGTCTTGAGTCTTACCAGCTGTGTGGCCCCCACCAGCTACCCACTTTTGGGCCTTGACTCCTCCTTATGGAATGGAGATCATCACCCATCTCCCTTGGAGTTCCTGGGGTGGTGAGACCCTCTATGGGAGCCTGCCTTGAAACCAGAAAGGGAAGTTCACTCCTTCCCCCTGAGGTCGGGGCCCAGCACACAGTAGGTGCTCAATCAGTGCTTGTGGAGTGCTGGTGAGACCTTGTCCTGCCTGAAAGGGCTGCACAGGGGAGAAGAGGCACGTGGCAAGGATGGCTGGGACCCACCCCCCACCCACCAACACACACACACACACACACATACACACTCACACCCGGGTGAGGGCTGGAAGTAGGTCAGGGGCTCTGGGAGTGGTCTGCAAAAGTTGGCCTGGAAGCAGGGCCAGAGAGGGCTTCAGAACAGCCTAGAAATCAGAAGGCCCTGAGATGCCTGGTGAGGAAAGCAGCCTCCAATATGGGCTGGCCTGTCGGCCGACATCAACCCTCAACAACACACAGCTCCCGCCTCAACTGAGCTGCACGGCTGCCATCTGAGGCAGACCTTGCCACCCCCCTTTACAGTGAGGACACTGAGGCAGAGGAATGAAGAAACTCACTGGGGCCATGCAGCTCAGAAGTGGCAGAACCAGGATTCCAGCCCTATCAGCCTGCCCTACAGACCCCATGGCCCTCGCTGCGAGAGGGGCACAGAGCGGCGGGGAGTGGGGGAAGGGGCAGAGAGGCCAGAAAGGAAGGGAAGGCATTCAGAAATGCCTCTCCAGGGGGTGGGCACTGTGGAGGAAAGAATGAAAGACGAGATGGATCTTAGACCTTCCTGCTAGCCCGCCATCCGAATGCCATGGAGGACCGTGGAGGACGGTTCCCAACCGCGCCGCATTCCCCTTACCGATAAGCCTGTGCAGAAAGGGAGCCCCAGACCCAAGGCCCAGACCCGCTGTGTCCCTGTGGCCCGAGAAGCCCCCTCTGGACATCCGGACACTTACCTGCAGGCTCCAGCTTGGGCCGGAAGGTCTGGACAGGGTAGCACGGGTAGAGCTCTGAAAGGACAGCAGAGTTGGCTGGAGAGCCTCGCGCAGCGCCCCCCCCAGGGAAGCACAGAGCCCAGGCTGGGCTAGCGCAGAGCCCCTGCCTCCTCCAGGCCCCAAGACCCATGTACTCACTCTGCTGAATCCACTTCCGGCAGGCCCTCCGGTGGCACAGGAGGAAGGACACGGAGCCCAGGACCATCACCAGTAGCATGACCATCCAGAAGAGCACGGACCCTGGAACACAGAGGCAGCCCTGCTCCCTCCACCCTGATGCTGGGGGGCCCAGGAGCCTCCGCTGCAAGCACCCCGGACGGTCCTCACCCTGGACTATGTTCTCCTTCTCCTGGGGCACAGAAGCCATCGGGGCTGTCAGGACCTGGTCCTCCCCCAAGAGGGAACTGAGACCCAGACCCTCTGCCTCCCTGGTGCAGCCTTATCCACCTGCCCTCCCTCCCCTGGCTCGAGGGAGCCCGTCAGGGCAGGTAAATGGCTGACAGAAGAACAAGCCATTCCTGGACAGTGAGAAATTGAGGAGTCGAGGAGCCGGAAGGAAGGAGCTGAGGTCCAGAAGAATACGGTCTGGGGCCCACAGAGGAGGGCCCCTGCCAGGTGTGGCCCCGCGGCCGGGATGGTGGGGGAGGGTCGGGGGGGGCAGGCGGAGCAGCAAGGAGGGTGAAGTGGGGGGAGTCTGGGAGGGCTCCAGCTCCCCTCCAGATGGGAAGCTCCCCAAGGCAGGCACGGGGTCTTCTCTGCACACGCACCCACTCAGCACCTCTTCCCTGAATACCACGCAGGCACCGTTACCATCTCCTTTTACAAACGAGGGAAACTGAGGCTTGCGAAGTAACTCACTAAAATGGCAAAGGGCAAACCGCAAGAATCACGGCTTGGGCCAGGCCTGGCCAGGCGGCTCCAGAGCCCACACGCTTCACCGCTGTGTGGGTGTGTGTTTCTACAACTTAACTCAGTACTTGTTCCTTTTTTTCTTTGGTCGCTTAAGAAGACAGTTACTGTTAAGTCCACGTTCAGATGTTAAAACATAGTAGGTGCCGTCTATGTGCTTCTCCAGCTTTAACGTGCATGCCGATCTCCTGGGACCATGTTGCAATACAGACTGTGGTTCGTGGGGTGGGGGTGGAGCCCAGAATTTGCTCCTCTGACAAGTTGCTGATGCGGCAAGTCCCAGACCGCGCTTAAGCATGGCCAGCTGGAGGGCTGCCGCCACCTAGAGTTTGACACTAGAACTGCAAGCCCTACACCAAAGCCCCTTAGAATGTCCCCAAGGAGCCCCAAAAGGTGATAGCTACACGTACCCCACTGCTTACTGCCATGCGTGGCATGTGCGACAAAACTGAGGCTCAGAGGAATTAAGCAACTAGTCAAGGTCATGTCTTCATTGTCCAAGTGTTTTGTGAGTAGCAATTACGGGCCACGGGACAAAGCTCTGAGTACAAGCCCAGCCCGGAACCGAGGAACAATCAAGAGCAAGTGACAGAGCCACAGCCCCAGCTCAAGAAGCCAGAAAGCTGGGGTCAGCCTTGGTCTCCCCCACCCAGTGGATACTGCCACCCAGGGACAAGCCTCCCTCCTCCCGGCCCCCTGGGAGGCAGACCCGTCCTTTCTGGGAGGTAATGGTTACCTGAAACCAGAATGGGCTTTCCCGTGGAGGAGAAAGAGATGGGAGTGCTTGTTGATATGGGGGTGTCTCCCCAAGCGTGGGTGATGCCCCTTCCATGCTCCTTACTGATCTGGGGGTCTGCCGAGGAGACCAGAGGGGCAGAGGCACTGCCAGGAGAGAAGGCAGAAGTAAGACTGACGGTGGAGATGGAGACAGGAAGCATGTGCTCAGGAATCGTTCCCAGTGGTGCCAGCCCAGAGTCGCACACACGTCTTCCAAAATGACTTGTGACCTTGGCACAGAGATCCAGCCCAGGCCCCACCCCCAGTCCCAGCCCCAGCCCAGCTGCCCCCAGATAAGGCCAGGGAGTCACCTGGTGGGCATCTTGCTGTCCTCTGGATTGGTGCTACAATCAGGGTGGGCCTCGGGGGGAGGTGGCTCATGGGTGGCATCCCTTTCAGCTGTACCTGCAGGGAGAGGTCTTAGAATTGGTATCAAGGAGCCTTACCCAGCAGCACTGGTAACTTCCAGGGAGGAGGCTTGGTGAGGCCATAATGACACTGCAGCCAGGAAGACTCAGTCTGGTGTCCTGACCCTCTTTCCTTCTCCCCTTCCTTCCTTCCCTCCGTGCAACAACTCTTTATTGAGCACCTGCTATGTATCAGGGACTGTGCTGAGAGCTGGGATGTAGCAGTGAGCAAAAGAGACCAGATCCCTACTGTCAGGGGTTCACGGGCATGGTGGAGGGCTCACAGAGGTGACACGGGTGTCACACAAAGGTACAGGGGCTCCCCGTAACACGGGACTTAAACACATCTGTCCAGGAAGGCTTCCCTCAGGGGGCCACTGCTGGGGTGTCTGTGTGGGTGGGGCTATCTAAGCAGAGGAAATCAAAGGTGGGGTGGCCCTAGGCCCCCTAGGTGGGGGAAGGAGGAGAGCAGGCGCATGGGAGGGGCTGGTGAGCAACACACTTATTCATAGCGGCATTCTTCAAAGTAGCCAAAGGGTGGAAACAACCCCAATGTCCATCAACTGGACAAATAAATAAGATGTAGTGCATCTGCACCCCAATACTGTGTGGCAAGAAAAGGGAACCGTGCACTAAGACAAGCCACAGAGCACAGAAGCCTCGAAAGGATCACGTGCAGTGAGAGAAACCTGACACAGAGCACGGATTTGGGAAATGTCCGGAAAAGGTCCATCTAGAGGGACAGAGAGTAGGATGAGTCCTTGTCCAAGCTGGGGACAGATACGGGGATTGACTACTAAAGCCACAAGGTTTCGTTGATTGTAGTGATGGTTTTATAACTCTGTAAATGTCTTTACAGTCATTGAATTGCACAATTAAATCTACAGATCCTGGGGTATGTCAAGTGTACTGCAACAAAGCTGTTCTTAAAAACTGCTCCCCAAAGTGAGGATTTAATTAGCAATGGGATGGGATCAGTGCGGTAGATTACATCCCGGGCCCCCCTCCTCAGATGGGGGAGGGGTCTGTGTCCCCGCCTCCCCAATGCCCTGGGACTCAGATGGTCGGCGGAGCAGGACGGAAGGAACGGTGTGACTGTCCCCAGGCTGGGCCGTTCTGTACTCCCACCCCGGCTGTAAGGAGAGGATGCTCTGGGCAGGTACTCGTTCCAGGAGTAAGAGAAACACCTGAAGCAAACGCAAACCAAACCTGCGCGCCCAGGCAAGACGGCAAAGCCTCCAGCTGACCCAGGCAGGACAGCTGAACCCTGAAATGTCAACGTTGTTTGTCGTCTGCTATGCCTGCAGCTAGAGCTGGCTGAGACAGGCAGGCCCGTGTCTCAAAGGATCAAAGTGGGAAAGCCACCCTCACCTCCAGCCAACTGTGATGGCACAGGAAGGGGGCCTGGTGCTCTACACCTCCTGAGTTTATGCAAAAGAGAAACCTGATAAATATATATAAATAAACACATGAAATTACTATCTCCTGATATTTAAATGTAGCCTCAGTTTTTTGAAAGTTCCTTTCTTTTGAGATCAACTGTATTAAGGCATAATTGATATAGGAGAAAATGTCCCCTCCGTTGTACTGTTTGATGGGTTTTTTTGGTTTTTGTTTTTTTAAATATTTTATTTATTTATTTGACAGAGAGAGATCACAAGTAGACAGAGAAGCAGGCAGAGAGAGAGGGAAGCAGGCTCCCCCTGAGCAGAGAGCCCGATGGTGGGGCTCGATCCCAGGACCCTGAGATCATGACCTGAGCCGAAGGCAGCGGCTTAACCCACTGAGCCACCCAGGCGCCCCTGTTTGATGGGTTTTGAAGACTGTGTCCTTCCAATGTACCTGTACCTCCATTCAAGATCTAGAACATTCCCACCATCCCAGTAAGTTCCCTGGTGCCCTTCTGCCATAAACCCTCCTCCTGCTTTCAGGCAACCACTGGTCTGCTCTATGTCTATATAGATTAGTGTGCCTATTCCAGAATTTCATTAGACCGGCTCGGGCAGGAAGTACTTTCTGGGTCTGGCTTCCTTCTCTCAGCATGTTTCTGCGATTCACTTATAATGCACGGCACACTCGTCACTGTGGAGATGTGCCACATTTACCCGGTCACCCATGGATGAACATCTGGGTTGTTTCCAGATTGGAGCTGTTATAAATAAATTATAAATTATAGGGGCACCTGGGTGGCTCAGTGGGTTAAGCCTCTGCCTTCGGCTCAGGTCATGATCTCAGGGTCCTGGGATCGAGCCCCGCATCGGGCTCTCTGCTCAGCAGGGAGCCTGCTTCCTCCTCTCTCTCTGCCTTCCTCTGCCTACTTGTGACCTCTCTCTGTCAAATAAATAAATAAAATCATTTAAAAAAATTGTAAGTTATAAATATGGCAGCTCTGAATGTTCTCGTACAAGTCTTCATGAGGACATACAATTTCATTCCTCCTGATAGTTCAGAGCGGAGGGGAAGGCTGTATGTCACTGTGCCGACCACACAGAATGCCTTTGAGGACCCATTCAAGGATGGTCTCCTCTGATCTGACCCAGGCACCTCTTCTTACACGTGGGAGAGAACCACAGAGCCAGAGCTAGAGCCAGAAAGCGGGGCTCCTGAGTTCCAGGCCTCAGCAAGCTCCGCTGGACCACGCCACCTCCTGCCTGGGGACCGAGCACGTTCTTACGAGCTTACAATTAACTGCTTTTCTAGGGTTAAGAAAACTGGCCCACATCTGAAGTAGGTCATGCCCAGCCACTATCCCTCTCTACCCCATGTCCCTGGTGGCCGCACGCCTCCTCTGCTGTAGTACAAAGCAGACCCCCCACCCATACTCATTTCCCTTCTATGAAGCTCTCATGCTGCTTCTCAGATTTTTTCCTGAAACACTATGAAGAGAAAGTTAAGCAAGGATTAATTTCCTTCTTGGATTAGTATGGTTCTGAGGAACTCCCATCTTTTGGGGCGGCGGGGGGGTGTCTCCAAATAGATGCTATGTGGTCCCTCAGCATCACCAGACTATTACCCGAATTAGCTGAAGTCTTCAGGCTTTAGGCTCTGAGGAAGATGATAGGATTTGTTATGATAATTTCTATTTATTTGCAAATCGATATTGAATTAAATTTAAAATGTTATTGGTTTCCATAAGAGATGACCCTCAGAGGACTGGAGGAGTTCTTGTGTTCAAATATATCACCTGTGGCTACCCCCAGGCAGCACCATGAGGAGAGAGCCTCCCGCCTCTCTCTAAGGCACCCGAGTCTGAGCTCCCACTGGACACCTGCCGGAATGCAGCAAAAGAACCGCTGTCCTGGGGCACCTGGGTGGCTCAGTGGGTTAAGCATCTGCCTTGGGCTCAGGTCATGATCCCAGCGTCCTGGGATAGAGCCCTATGTTGGGCTCCCTGCTTAGTGGGGAGCCTGCTTCTCTATCTCTGACCCTCCCCCAACACTCACTCATGCTTTCTTTCACTCTCTCTCTTTCCCAAATAAATAAAACCTTCAAAAAAAATAAAGTACCACTGTCCTTCTCTAAGTGGAGAAGGTGGACCTAGTGCTCCTTGGGTGCCTCTCAGCCTCTCCATGTGCATCATACCTCACCTGTAGCCTCCTCCTTTCTCCCAGGTGTAGTGACCCTCCCCCTTTCCTCTTCCTTTAAATCTGGAGGTGAGGAGAAGGTATTGTTTAGCCCCTACTTAGGCTGCCTGTGTTGTCTGGTAAGAGCCAACTGAAAGAGGGGAAAAAAGAAAAAGAAAAAGAAACTACCCACTCTTATTCCCAATCTAGAACTAAAAAATATAGTATTTGCCAGACTGAAATATTCTCTTTAAATCCAAACACCTGATCCTTGGGCCATTTGAAGGAGAATGGTCTTAGCATCAAGGTCAAGTGGGTTCTCTTTTTGTGCATCCAACAAGTGCTTAAAATCAGATAAAATTTTCATCTTCATATCTGGAGTGTAGGTTAGTCAGCTTTTTATTTTCCCTAGAGTTCTTAACTGCCTTTTGTTTTCTTGTTGAGAAGAGAATAATGTGACTTCACCGTATCATCAAGTTTTCAAACCTACTACTCAGGAAGTTTACTGTGATTCTTTCTTTCATTCCTGCAGACAGGACAACTCAGTGGAGTCCTCCTCCATTTTTCTGTTCTCATCTGGCTCAACTGGTCTGCAATACAGCCGTCATATTGGGACTTCCCTGCTCTCCTAGGATAGAGTCACTGTTTTCTAGATTCATGGCTTTTTTTGTTTCTCTTAGCCCCTCATTTAGCCCGATTAACATCTTCAAGTAACTCTCTAAGAGAGGACACATGAGGGAAAATCTTCCTGCCCTTTTATGTCTGAAAATGCTTTTTGATGCTTTCAAATTTAACTGTACTTAACTGAATAGAAAATTCTAGGTTCAGAACTAAGAAGAAGCTGATGTGGTCTGGTAGGGAGGACTCCGGGCTGGAACTCAGGATCCTTATGTTCTAGCTCTACCTCTGACCATATGATTCTCTCCATCCATAAAACTAGGTGGGTAAGATCAGGTCACAGTGGTGAAAGCCTTTGAATGGGCCCTCAGAGACATTCTGGGTGGCCAGGAATCTAGTCATCCATCTCCTGGGTATTTACTCATGAGAGATGAAAATATGTTTACACAGAGTTGTACAAGTCTTTTAATAATTGCTTTATTCATAATAGCTCCAAACTAGAAATAACCCAAATGTCTGTCAACTAGTGAATGGATAGATAAGATATCTGTTATGTCTGGGTCTGAGTAATCCTCATTCATCCTGCTTTGCTCTTGGTAGGTCCATCTGAAGCTTCATATTTTTCAGGTCAAGTATGCAAGGAAAGTTGGGGCATCACAGTGGGTACAAGGCCCGGAGCACACAGTGATCAGGTCAACAGGGCTGTGAATGCAGAAGACCCAAGGCTTGGGGTAAGGGGTGCACAAGGGGAATTATGGCACTTGGGCTGACATGAGGCCCGGAGTATACCAGTGTCCCTGTTGGGAAGGTCACACCAAGGTGGTCACCAGACCCAGGCTGGGGCTGTGAGGCTGCCCAGGGACTGTCTACTCTGGGAGCATGACTGGGGCGGGCATGACCAGGTGTCCCCACCCATGTGCTCTGTCGACAGAGGGCGCAGCAAGAGCAAGAAAAAGCAAATGCCGCCAAGAGAAGCCTCCTTCTTCCTACAATGGCTCCCCAGTGCCCTCTACTGGCAGAGCTCAACATCGCGATCGGTAGGAGAAACGCATCAAGAGTCTGGTCTTTTCCTGCACAGCAGGTGCTGAAGGTGAATGGACAGCTGAGAGGCAATACCTGGGAAGAAGCACTTTCTTAAAACCTTTTTTGGTCCTCTTCTCTCTTACTATGTCTTTTTCGCAGCATTCTGATCTCTCTCTATGGATGTAACAACTTCTTGAGTTTTTCTGCAGATGTTAATTTAACATTTTAAATGTCTACTCCTATTCCTGAAGCCATTTCCATCGCTTCACCCACAGTGTTCTGTGATTTTGTTTTTCTCCATCATGCAGCTGGTTTCCCTTATCAGTCTGAATGGCTTTAGTGCCCACTCCTATTTCCTTAAAAAGGACTCTGCTGCATACTCCAGTAGCTGGTGGGGTTTCTTCTGCTGCGTTGGTAGCACGGCCTTTCCACCTGAGGTCTCTTCGTGAGTACGGGGTCCGGCTGGGAACTCTGGACGGTGGGGCGTGTGGGCTGACCGTCTTCACTTCAGGGGGACTTAGCATGGGTAGCTTACTGCCAGGTTATACTCCCAAACACACAACCAAAGAGGGCTTTACACAGGGCGGCGGCCCCCCACCAGCAGCCCCATGTTTCCCCAGATACTCCTTCAGTGTCTTCAGCCAAAAAGTTGATGATTTTCACCAGATGAAAACTCAGGCACCACCAGGGTCCGTGGTGTACCACTGTCTCAGATTTTTGTTATTTCCCAGACGAATTTGCAGCCCGCTGCACTGTTCAATTCTCCACTGCAGTCCCATTCTTCCTTCTCTGGCCCACGCTGAGCCCAGAGCCTCCGTGGGGTCTTGTGAGCAAGGTACCTCTCACTTTTCCTGCAGCACTTGCAGAGTGAATTCCGGGGCAAGGTTCCCTCCCCCTCATTTCATTTGTCACCACCCTTCCATCTGTTTTCTACCTTCTAGAAATTTCCTGAAATCTCCTTTCTGCTGATTAACCAGGTTTTTTTTTTCCCCCAACGTCAAGAGTTCATATTTTTCTGTACTCTGGCAAATGTCTGCCATCTTTTTTTTTCTTTGTTTTCTCTTGTGTTTTTTGTTTGTTTGTTGAAGTGAGCTCTACAGTCAACATGGGGTTCAAACTCACAACCCTGAGGTCACGAGTTGTATGCTCTGCCGACCGAGCCAGCCAGGTGCCCCAAAGGTCTACCATCTTGAGTTGGAAATGTCTTAAAAAAGTTCATATTGCTCTATCTTGAGTCAATGAAACAGCCTTTCAAATAAGTGAAGATTTTACCAGCCCAACAATTTCAGAAGGAACAATTTTTTAAAAAATCATCAGTGTCTCTTACCAAGGGGCGCCTGGGTGGCTCAGTCAGTTAAGCCTCTGCCTTCAGCTCAGGTCACAACCCCAGGGTCCTAGGATCAAGCCCCACTTCGGGCTCTCTGCTCAGCGGGGAACCTGCTCCTCCCTGTCCCTGCCACTCCCCCTGCTAGTGCTCTCTCTCTTCCTCACTCTCTCTCTCCCAAGTAAGTAAATAAAATCTTAAAAAAAAAAAAAAAAGAATCTCTTGCCAAAATGCCAAATCTAGATTTTTTTAAAGCTTATTAATTTATTTTTTTAGTACTCTCAACGTGGGTCTCAAACTCACAACCCCAAGATCAAGAGTGAGATGCTCTTCCGACGGAGCCAGCCAGGCACGCCCAGATCTAGATTTTATTCCACTTACCAGATTTAACTATTAAAACAAAACCAAAGCCCAAACCTGACCTAGTTAATAGCTGGGGTTGAAGGTCATTTGCCCAGTGGGGGGGCGAAGAGATGTCCAGCTGCAGGGGCATAGACGGAAGCCCATTGGTTGGGGGTGCAGACAGCTTACCCTGGGGTTTGGTGGCCGTCCCTGGTGGGCAGCTGGAGCGGGGGGTACAGCGGGCACAGGAGTTGGTGGCTGATGTGGTACAGAACATGCCAGATCGACATTCGCAGACTCGAGAGGAGTTCCACGTGCACGGCGTCTTCTCCACCAGGTCTTCAAAGGGACACAGAGAAAGGTCGTGAGGAAGGATCTGGGATGGCAAGGGCAGGGGGTCCCGAGAACCCCCAGGAGGGCAGAGAAGCATTTGCTTGGAAGCAAACACTCACGTGACTATCCTGTCGAGCAGATCTTTTAGCTCAAAATAGTTGGGCTAAGCGAAAGAAGGCAAGGGGGGAGAAAAAGAGTATGTACTATCTGAGTATGTTTACAGAAAATGCTAGAATATACAAACTCTTCCAGAGTGACAGGAAGCAGGATGATTGCCTGGGAATGGAAGTGGGGTGAGCAATGGTGGGAGGGACGATAAGGAACTCAAGGAAACTTTCTGGAAACTTCTTTTCCTTGATTGTGGTGATGGCTTCACAGCTGCATATGATGTCAAAATGTATCAAATGGCACTCTTTGCCCACATGCGTGGCCCTGTGTGTCAATCCTGTCGCAATAAAGCTGATAAAAGAAAATAATCTAGAGAACAGGGTGAGCACGCATGGGTAGAGATGAACCCACAGTGGCTGTGACTCGATCATTTGTTAAAAGTGGGTGAAGTCCACAGCCATTCCTGACTTTTCTCTACTTCTGAATAGGCTTGAAATCTTCAGTGCTGGGGCACCTGGGTGGCTCAGTGGGTTAAGGGTCTGGCTTTAGCTCAGGTCATGATCTTGGGGTCCTGGGCTGGAGCCCCATGTTGGGCTCCCTGCTCAGCAAGGAGTCTGCTTCTCCTTCTGTCCTCTTCTCTGCCCTCCCGCCCCCGCTCATGCTTTCTCTCTCTCTCAAATAAATGAACAAAATCTTTAAAAAAAAGAAATTTTCAATGATAAAAAGGGTTATTTTTTTCCAAAATTAAAAAAAAAATGTTGGAAGTTTTGTCAAAGAAAGCATGTGATAAAGCATTTACATATGCTTGGGAATATTTTATGTGCTCTAAATGAGTAAAAATAGAACAACCACATTAGTAGATCAGACACATGAGACTGGCTCGGGAGGACTTTCCTCAATCAGCAGGATCCTTCACAGACCTCAGATGATAACCTCATAGTCTCTTCCTGAAACTTCCAAAGAGAGTGGGAACTGGGGAGGGTTGGGGAGTTTGTGCGGGCAGCAGGAGTGAGCTCAGCAGTGCCAGCGAGGACTTGGGACAATGACAGCTGTTATCACGATCACAGCTATTAACAGCACCAAGTGTGGGTGGGACGCACCTGGGTGGCTCAGGTAAGCGTCCGACTCTTGGTGTCCGCTCAGGTCATGATCTCGGGGAAGTGAGAGCGAGCCCCACTCGACAGGGCTCTGTCCTCAGTGGGGAGTCTGCTTGAGGTTCTCTCCCTCTCCTTCTCCCCCCTTCCCGCATGCACACACTCTCTCGCAAAACAAGTAAATAATATATATATATATATTTAAATATCATTGAGTACAAACAAGGCAGCCGTAATACCATTAGGTGCGTGGGGGGTCTTATTCTTAGCATCCTGCCCTGATTAACCTAGTTTGACCTACTTAATTCCTGCATCAGGTCTTCGAGAGAGTACTATTATGATGCCCACTGCAGATGAGGGAACTGAGGCATGGAGATGTTAAGAAACTTGCTTGTGTTTATAAGCTGCAAACTGGTAGGGCCAAGATTCAAACTTGGGCTCCAGAGTCCATGCTCTTGGCCCCTGTTCTCCACCCTATGGCTTCTCAGAGCTTTCATCCTTAGAGCTGAAGGAATTCTCTTGTTTCTCTATCTGACACTGTAGCTTCGGCAGATAATATTTTTTCCAAAAATGGCCAGGGCAGCATTTCTGGCCCCATCTGCTCTTCCAGACCTCTGCCACTCACCGTCAAGAAGCTTGATTTCTTTCCTTCCGCTGACTCCAGTGGGATGTGTGACTGCCTCAAGAGGTAAAAACTGGCGGAAACTACACCATGTGACTTTCAGGGCAAGGTCAACAGAAGGGATGTGGCTTGTCCCCACCCCTGCCCCATCCTTGGAATCCAGGCACCAGGCCTCGAGGAAGCCCCCAAGTTAGCCATACAGAGGCCACGAAGGAAAGGGCTTTCAGACAATTCCCGCCTGTAATCTTCATGTTTTCCAGCTGAAATCCCAGACATCGTGCAGCAGAGACCAGCCACCCGCTCAGGGTCCTGTCTGAATTCTGACCCATGGAACTCATGAGTAAAGAGGAGGGGGATGGTTTTTGCCACCATGTTTTGAGAAAGCTTCCTTGTGGCCTTTGCAACTGGAACAGTGGCCCCCAGTGACAAATGGTGTTCTTTCCTCTTTGGGCCTCTGCTGACTTCAGCCAGCGTGTGAAAGAAACCTTGGACAAGGAGACACGATCACGCATCCCCTCCCCGCCCCCATGGCCTTTGTGACGGGGCTGGGGACACAATCAGCCACGGCTGTCTACAGCCTGGGCAGCCCTCGTGGATGTCAGGAGGCAGCTGGTAGTGCTGTGGTGCTGAGTCAGCCACATACACAGAAGTCACCCAGCAAGTGTCTGTCCTGAGAATGTTCTAAGGACAGCATAGTGACTGGCCGAGCCCAGAACCTCCAAGTTGAAACTCCGGCCATGCCGCTCTCGGGGACCTGTGGCTTTTGTAAGGTCTCAGCGTTCTCCTCTGTACAATGGGGACAACTGTAATCCACACACCAGAAGACAGCTACCAAAAATAACAGGACAAGTCTGGAACAGGTAGATGATAACGAACGCTTCCTTGCAGGAGTAAGCAAACGGAACCTGTGTGAGAAGGGGTCACCGCCATCAACACCCCACAATCGAGAGGGAGACTCAGTAAAGGCCCACTGCTCAGAGATGCCAGCGAGGGGAACTAGGCTCCTGAGGGCTGAGCAGTCCCAGAACAAACTCAAAGCCCCCCATCCCCAGATTCTCAGCCAAGAGCCCCTGCTCCCAGGAAGGAGCCCCTTACCTCCAGAGCAGGTCACGCAGGCCTTGCAGCGGCCATCCCTGTCCAGGTAGTAGTCGGGGTCACACTGCTTCCCACAGTCCGATGACCCCTGTGGGGTGCACGGCTGCTGCAAGATCGGCCCTGAGGAAGGGAGCAGAGAAGCTCCAGGCCAGGCCGCCTTGGCAGAGGCCCCACCTCCGCACCCAATCGCCACCTCCAGCTCCACGGCCAGCCCCCAAACTCCACACATGTCAGATTGATCTTTCAGAGGGAGTCCTGAAGCCCAGAGAGGGAAGGAATGTGTCTAAAGCCACACAGGGGAGCAGCACTCACTAACCGGCCCCTGGTTCCGGTCCCTTCCCTCTGCCATCTGCCATGGCCACTGCCCTCTCCCCAGCCTCACTGCCGTGTCACCACCCTCCTCAAAACTCGGGGGCCACTCTCCCTCTGAGACCAGCCGTGAGGTGACGATGCCTACTGGCCACAGCTTCCGCTCGGTGTGGCACTGGGGGATCCAGGCAATTCAGGAAGGCAAGGAAAAGAGAGGAAAGTAGTGGGGTCTGGCGAAGAAGACATCAGGCTGTCATGGACAGATGGCATCGTTAAAGGGGACAGATGACCAAAAGAACCAGCAGATACATTATTAGGACTAACAAGTGAGTTTAACAAGGTGCTTGGAAATAATGTTATTACATCAAAACTGAGTGCCTATACGCTTGGGTTGAACCACATGAAATTGCTATTTTGGTAGGTGAGGCTGCCAAATATTGGCTTTTCACACAGTTCAAAACAACACCAATGATGAAGAGTTAGAACACGAAATACTGAAAAAAAATATTCCCCTCATCATCAGAAACATCAGGTACCTAGAAATCTAAAGCAAACCTATAAATCTCTCTACACAGAAAAAAATAAAGCATTACTGAGAGAAGGTCAAGCAGACCTAAGTTGAATTCAATAAATAAAAACAAAGAGCGAGGGGCGCCTGGGTGGCTCAGTGGGTTAAAGCCTCTGCCTTCAACCTGGGTCATGGTCCCAGGGTTCTGGGATCGAGCCCCGCGTCAGGTTCTCTGCTCGGCAGGGAGGCTGCTTCCTCCTCTCTCTCTGCCTGCCTCTCTGCCTACTTGTGATCTCTGTCTGTCAAATAAATAAATAAGATCTTTAAAAAAAAAGAGCGAAATAATAGAGGGCTTTACCATGTACTACTCGATACTGCAAAGATACGGATTCTCTCTAAAGTGAGCTGGATTCGGTGCGATCCCAACGAAAAGCCCAAGAGGACAGTTTACAGAAATCTGAAAAGCTGATTCTGAAGTGGACACAGAGAGGCAGATGACTGAGAAGAGCCAGTCTAGTGACAAAGAACAAAGGTAGAGACATTGCTCGACCATTCCGATGACTTAACAAAAACCTGCACCAATCAAGACCCTGGGGCATCCACACAGAATAGACGACAGAAAGACCAACGGAGCAGAACATCAAGTCCAAGGCCGTGCCCAGGCACATACGGACCTTTGGATACAAAGATGTCCGCAACACAGTGGGGAAGGACCATCTGTTTGATAAAAGGTATCGGTTCAACTGGACATCCACACGGACCTTCCAGCAGGACCCCTGCCTCACGCCGTACACACAAGCCAAGGCAGACGGCAGGTCTACATGGGAAAGGTAAAATGGGAACAATTCTAGGAAGTCGATGCAGATGTCTTCGAGACTTGAGTGGAGGAAAAGAAAATAAAGAGCGGAGCATAAAAGCACCGGTCATAAAGGGAAAGACAGATCCATGTGACTACTTTAACATTTATTTTTAAAATATTATTTATTTATTTGAGAGAGAAAACACAAGCAGGTGGGAGGGGCAGAGGAAAAGAGAGAAGCAGATACCCCACTGAGCAGCTGAGCAACATGGGACTTGATCCCAGGACCTCATGATCATGACCTGAACGGAAGGCGGATGCTTAACTGACTGAGCTGCCCAGGTGCCTGTGATTACATTAAAATTTGGAATATCTCTTTATGGGGGCGCCTGGGTGGCTCAGTCAGCTGAGCATTGGACTCCTGATTTCAGCTCAGACCACGATCTCGGGGACCTGGGATGGACCCCACATCAGGCTCTGCACGCCACAGGGAGTCTGCTTGAGGATTCTCTCCCTCTCCCCTTGCTCACACAACCGCACGCACGCTCTCTCTCTCTCTCTCATAAATACATCTTTTTTAAAAATAAAATAAAAAAATCTCTTTAGCAAAGACACCATAAAGAGAATAAGAAGGCAAGCCACTGGGTGGGAGGTGGTCGTCTGCACACACTATAGGATGAAGGGCTCAAACCCAGAACTGTAAGAAGTCCTATTAAGAAATCAGTGGAAGGGGCGCCTGGATGGCTCAGTCGTTAAGCGTCTGCCTTTGGCTCAGGTCATGATCCCAGGGTCCTGGGATCAAGGTCTGCATCGGGCTCCCTGCTCAGCAGGAAGCCTGAGTTTCCCTCTCCCACTCCCCCTGTGTTCCCTCTCTCGCTGTGTCTCTCTCTGTCAAATAAATAAAATCTTTAAAGGAAAAAAAAAAAAGTCAATGAAAAAGACAAACAAGCCCCAGAGATTTCACACAAAGACTTGCTTTTCCTTATTCATCACAGCCAAGAGGAAACAACCCAAATACCCAAAGACTCATGGACAACCACGGGCCAGCACCAGAGGCCAGTCAGCCATGGCAGGAGTGGACTGAGGGCCCTGCCGGTCACCATGGGAACCTGGAGGGTATCAGACCCACAGCCACTCCCACACCAGACTCCGCGTCACACACACTCGAGCTGTCCAGCGAATGACTTTTTCCATGACCTACAGCCCCAAGAGGCCTGGAGACCCTCTTCTCCCCAGACTGGGAAAGACCACAGCCCAGGGCCCCCCTGCCTGGACCTGCCCGCAGGGGTCGCCTGCCAACGAGACGCTGCTGCCCTGGAAACGAGCCACAGCCTCTCGGGAGAACTCACCTGGATCTGGACTGGGCTCCCGCACCGAGGAGGGAGAGCTGGGGGCCCTCGTCATTTCGGAACCGTCTTCCGGGGTGAGGAAAGCGCCCCTTCCAGGAATCGTGGTCCTCACCCCGGAGCTTGCTGAGGCAGTCCTGAGGGGCCTGGCCTGGGGGGTGCTGCTGCCAATCAAAAAGTTAGAAATGGCACTGCCAGTTCTCCTGAGGGGGCAAAGCGGGGGGGTCTGTGCTCAAGGGCAACCATTTCTGCAGAGAAGGGGGTCCCCAGATCCTCTGTCCACAGCGTCTGGCAGCCCCACCATCAGCTCCTGGGAGCAAGGACTGTGTTTTCTAGGCTCTTCTCTCATATGCTCCGGGAAGACTGAGCACATGGTGGGGCCTCAGCTGCCTTGTGGGCTTGGCAGAGAGACTCCCCGAGGTCCTGACACCCTGGGCTGAACCCCACCCCCACCACAGCCAGTGGGGCCCTGAGCATCCTATGGGGCAGGACAGCCCCACACCAAGGTCAGCTGAAGGGGCGAGGGGAGTCACCTGGTGGCCACCCTGCAGGCTTTGAGGCTGGTGCTGCAGTCAGGGCTGGTCACTGGGGAAGGTCGCTCACAGACGGTGTCACTTTCTGCTGTGCCTGCAGGGGGGACAGAAATGCAGGAGTGACAGACGTCACGGCGGAGCCTAAGGAGACTCACTGAGACACTGAGGAGACGTCATGGAAGAGCCTGAGGACTCCAGGCACAGATCTTTTACCACCACAACCCAGAGCTCGGAATGAGGTCCTTGGAAAATGTTGCAGCCATCCGATGTTTCAGCCTGCCCGGTGTCCAGTCCCTGTTGGGGTAAAGCACCTTGACTTTCCCCGGGGAACACTTTCCAATCTCAGCCCCTGTGCTCAGGGCTGAGGCTGCTTTGCCTCCCTCCCTTCCAGGAGCAAACACAGACCAGCTAGACCCATCAACCCCTTTGATTCCTCTGACCCCAGTGAACTGGTTCAGTGATGGGCACGTGACCCTGGCGTGCCCAGGAGGAACAATATCAAGGTTTTGGTTTCAGTTCTTGGAAGGAGAAGCCGTCTTTTCCACTGGCGTTGGGTGGGAGGCAAGCCAGGAGCTGCTGGTACGAATCTTACAGATGCCTACACATAGGGGAGCAGAGATTGCCTGACACCACCCAGGGAGCCCCAGACTTTGCAGTTACAGGAATCAAAAAATTTTGAGATTTTGTTTCCAGCAACCCAAGGATTCCTGAAGAATACTGGGTGCGAGCAGAAAGAGGAAAGCCCGAAGCACTTTCCGTCCAGCAGATCTGAGCTCGCCTGCCGCCTCTATCGTCCTCGCCGTGCCCACCACACTGCATGACATATAGTAAATGCCTAACCCATAGCATGTCCTTCTCCCCATCTGTACATTGCTTAGAGAGTGTCCCACAGGTGAGATTATGATCTGAAGGTTTCGGGGCAGGCAGCGTGAGCAATGCGGATGTGTCTCGTGCTTTGAGTGTGGTGGGGTGACCACACCCGGTGTGACCTTCAAACCCAAGCTCAGGTATTCCCTGCTCTGTGATCTGGAGCACTTGACCCATCTCTGGACCTCAACTTCCTCAGCTGTAAAAGAGGCTGATTCGGCCTACTTGATGGCGTTCTGAGCCCTTCAGGAGAGAACACCTGTGCCAGCTCTAGGCACACGGCTTAGCCATGGGCTGACTCTTAAGCATAAATTACTTTCCATTTTACAGCTGGAGAGTTGCCTTGGCGCAGAAACCAGGGAGTCCGGGAGTCCAGCCAGCCAGGAGTCCACGTCTACATGTCGTGTAGAAACATGATGGGAATCTCACACACCATTTGAAATTGCTTAGTACCCACATTTTAAAAAGTAAAAAGAAACATGTGGAGTTAATTTATTTAACCTAATAGATCTAAAATAGGTCAGTAGACATTCAATATAAAAAATAATTAATGAGGGGCACCTGGGTGGCTCAGTGGGTTAAGCCTCTGTCTTCAGCTCAGGTCATGATCCCAGGGTCCTGGGATCAAGTCCCACATCGGGCTCTCTGCTCCTTGGGGAGCCTGCTTCCCCTTCTCTCTCTCTCTCTCTCTCTCTCTCTCTGCCTACTTGTGATCTCTCTCTCTCTCTGTCAAATAAATAAATAAATAAAATCTTTAAAAAGTAATAATAATTAATGAAGGGGCGCCTGGGTGACTCAGTCATTAAGCATCTGCCTTCGACTCAGGTCATGACCCCGGGGTCCTGGGATCGAGTCCCACACTGGGATCCCTGCTCTGCGGGAGGCCGGCTTCTCCCTCTTCCACTCCCCCTGCTTGTGTTCCCTCTCTCGCTGTGTCTCTCTAATAAATAAATAAATAAATATAATAAATAAATAAATAATGACACATTTTACATTTTTGTCTACTAAGTGTTTGAAATCCAGTGAATGTTCTGTCCTGACAGCCCATCTCAACCCAATGGGCCGCATTTTAAATGCTCTCTGGCTGCATGTGGCCAGTGGGACCTCTAGGGGCAGCACAGTCCAGGGCAGCACAGAGCAGGGCAGCAGAGAGAGGCCTCTGGTGCCAGCATGTGGCAGTCGCAGGAACACCACGGAAAGGGCCTCCCTGGCAGGAGCGAGTCCACAGGCCTGGCTGGAGCAACAGAACTCCAGGTACTTTTCCCAGATATGCAAGAGTTTCTGAGCTGGAAAGTCCCCCAAGGCCTTCTACTGACAACTTCACATTTTCCCGATTGGAGACTGAAGCCCACGTCCCCCAGGTGCAAATCTAACAGTACTCCAGGTGTCTGATGCCCAGCCCCTAGCATCTTCCACTCCGGCCCCTGGCCTGGCTTACGGCCCTAGATGACCAGGAGCACAACGGGCATGGTCTTGGCCTTCACGGAGCTACGGCTCAGGGAGGGAGGCCAGCACTGATCAAACCAAGAGAGACACAAATGTTCATATCCACGTTTGCGAAAGATGCTGTGTGATAAGAGAACAAACGCAGACATGATGTGTGACAAGTCATAGGAGGCCTCCTGACAAAGTGATGTGTGGACAGAGAGCTCAAGGCTGAGGAGCTGACTGAGTGGACAGGAGGGAAGGGTGTCCCAGGCTCAAGGAACCACATGCCCAAAGGCCTGGTAAGAGGGGGAAGCACCACACAGCCATAGAATTGAAAGCGAGCAGACCAAGTTGAGCCAAGGAAAGAGGGAGGCTGACGCTGAGTCTGAGGCTGGAGGAAGGACAACGACATGGTGCAGGGCCGGGTACAGACTGTGTCCTGAAGACGGCCTGTGGGAATATGCAGTGGGTGCCCTTTTCCCTAGTCCTCTGACTAAAGACAGCTAAACACCATGGGTACGTGTCTAAACAAAGACGACTCTGGACAGCGGAGAGAAGGCCTTGGAACCCAAGGAATGACACAGTGGTGAATTCCCTGGGTTTTCTCTCTGTTCGTCTATCCCAGACATGGAGCCAAATAAGCCAGCAGCCCAGAAATGCCAAACAGCACAGACTTTAGACAAGAAGTCCCTCCAAAAACCGGTTCTCTTCTGCCAAAGGATCATGGCATTGCCCTTAGAGTAATGAGAAGATACTAAAGTGTTGTTTTCACAGGTGTGTGTTTGTGTGTGTGACAGAGAGAACCAGATTTGGTTTTGCAAGGGTGGCTCCGCCTGTGTGCCATGGGCAAGGAATGACAGGAGGAACCGGGTGTGGGGAATGGGAGACAGAATTAGATGGACAAACGCTATGGGACTGGCTGTGGGGTGTGAGGGAAGGAAAGGAAGGAAGGACGGTGGGGGAGAAGGTGGTAAGGATGGGTGGAAAGGACCAGGTTAGAAGTGGGAGTATCATGGGCGTGGTGCTGGCACCTTTCTCCCCAGTGGGCATGGCTCCCTCTGATTCCATCTTGCCGCCTCCCCAGCCTGGGGCTATGGTCCACCCACTCCCCAAGCCTCCCTTCTGAAAGGTGTCCTCAGTACCACCCACACAGCATTTGTGCCCCTTACCTCCTTTCTGGCCATGAGCCTCCTTGTACTGTCAGAAAATTAGAAGCCCAGAGAGGGTAAGGAATTTGCCTGAGCTCACACAACAAATTGAAAAAGAAATCCAAGTGTCTCAGTAGCTCTAACTCCCAATGCCTCAATGGTGAATTGGCAAAACCAGCCCTAATCCTCTGGGGAACTCCCAGGATAGAGTTTGCTTCTTGTTTACCAGGCATCAGAGAACTTCTGCCCCAAACCTCAAACCAACCCAAGACTTCAGTCCAGCAGGCCTGTGCTTTTGGCCACCAGAGTCTCACTGAGCCCAGGACACAAAGTGCAGGGAAGTGGGGAAGGGGGCTCTGCAGTAGCTGGTGCCCCTACAGGATCTCCAAAGGAGGCAGCAGTCTGCCCAACAGGAAGAAGGAAGTGGGAGGTCATAGGTCATGTGGAGATCTGGGGCGGGTGCAGCTGGGCCCAGATCTTGGTGCCAGGCTGAGGGTGAGGATACTTACCCTGGAACCTGATGACCTCCCCTGGTGGGCAGACGGAGTGCGGCCTACAGCGGGCACAGGATTTGGTGGCTGATGTGTAACAGAACATGCCAGGCCGACACTCACAGACGCGGGAGGAATTCCCTGAGCATGGGATCTTCTCCACGAGATCGTCTAAGGGACACAAAGAAGAGTCACAGAGGACAGAGGAAGGACAGGGGAAGAGAGCCAGAGAACCCTCATGGCCAATGCCCATTTGGCACAAGACAGAAGATGCCACTGTGGCCTCCCTTTGGGCAGGGAGCTGGCACGCTGAGCCCTTCTTTCCAGAATGTTCCTGCAACAAGAGCAAGAAGCCAGGCAGGGCCAATGGGGCAGACTCCACTTCCCCACCCAGATCCCCAGATGTCATTATAATCGTATTAAAAAGAAATTAGTGGCCCCATTTTAAAATGGGCAAAAAAATAAAAATAAAAAATAAAAAGACATGGAGGAACCCTTCAATGCATATCACTATGTGAAAGAAGTCAGTCTGAAAAACCTACGTGCTGTGTGATTCCAGCCCTGTGGCATTCTGGAAAAGACCAAACCATGGAGACACTAAAAAGATCAGTGGTTGCCGTGGGTCTGGGAGGAGGGTCCTAAACCTAACATTCATGTCAGTATTGCTCGTAATTGCCAAAAAATAGAAACAACCCAAATGTCCACCAATCGACTGTTCAGCCATAAAAAGGAATGACCCTGTTACAGCATGGATGAGCCTTGAAAACACGGCAAAGTGAAAGAAGCCAGTCACTAAAAGCTGTATTATTAATGACTTTGAAATGCCCAAAATAGGCAAATCCACACAGACAGAATGTAGACTAGCGACTATAAGGGAGTGGAACAGGAGGAGAATGGGAAGGACAGGGGCTTCTTTTGCGGGAGGTGGAAATTTTCTGAAGTCAGATAGTGTGGTGGGCTGCGCATTGTGAGTACAACAGAACCACTGTACTGCACATTTAAAATGGCAAATCTTAGGAGCGCCTGGCTGGCTGAGTTGGTACGCTTCGCCACTCTTGATCTCAGGGTCGCGAGTTCAAGCCCCACGTTGGGCATAGAGCTTACATGCAAGAACAAATAATTTAATTTAATTTTTTAAAATAAATAAAATGGTGAATTTTATCTCAAGAGAAAAAAAGAAATCACTGGTATAAGTAATCGGCAAATGCAAACATCCGTGGAAACCAACACAGGGCATCCTTGGCCAACCGGAAATGGTGAAGACTTCCTAAACGTGGAAGCAGGTGGGAGTGCATGGAAGAAGGAGACGGAAAACTGTAGCCCAAAATATACCCAAGAGGGTTATTCTGGGAGAGGCTCTGGGCTAGGGCACTCCAGTCTCTGAGTGGGTACAGGGCAGGGGCAGGCCCCAGGGAAGATGATGGGGAATACAGCAGGAGCACCCAGCTGGGTCAGTCTCCCCACGCTTCTCATCCACTTATGCCACAGGTCCAGAAGCCAAGCATCTCCCCCAGGAGACTCTTGGGTGAGGTGAGCACAACAGTGCCCCAGGGCTGGTCCTACGTGGGAAGAAGGGACCCTGCAGAAGATTAGCCACTAAACAACACACGCCCGCATCCCAGTGACCAGATACAGTGTGCAGAAGGGTCACCCGTGGGAGAGAAAAAGAGTTCCAAACTCAAAAAGAACTAACTCTCGAAAGAGCAGATAAAAGAAAAAACAAAAAACAAAAACCCACAGAACAAACCATTGGAATCACTATAATTAATATCCTCGGGAATTTGCAGCTATACAACAGAATCCCCTGGAGCTCAAGGAAGAAAGGAAGGACATCGAAGCCATAAAAAGGGATCCTCGGGCACAGAATGCTGTAGTCGCCAATTCATTTCCTGCGGGCTCACGCAAAGACTACATTTCCCAGCCCCCCTTGGAGTTGGATTTGGGTCACGTGACAAGATTCTAGCAAATGAGATGTGAACAAAAATGTAGGCGCTTCTCCCAGGCCTGGCCCCTAAAACCATCTGTGGGGGGGCTTTCTCATCTCTCTCTTCCTCGCTGTAGTGGCCCCGGAGCAGTACTCTTGCCTGCACCCCGGAAGCAGTACTGAGGAGAGAATAAAATCCTGAGAATTCTAGAAAATCTAAGGGAGTGGTAGACTGAGGACAAACAGTAGATATCCCTGGAAAATTCAAGGAAAAAAACCACAGAGGCCTCGGCAAAGGTGGGAAAGGTGCTGGACTTGCGAACTTTCAGGAAGGCAGGCCCAGGGGAAATGAACAGAGGCCCTGGGAGTGGGGTACACTTCTTTTTGGGCAGCAGGAGCTCTAGATATGCCCCTGATGGAAGAGAAGGCAGATCCCCTCCCCAGCAAGGATGGAGCCCGTCTCTGGCTGCACTCTGCCTCCCACCCAGGCCTTCGGGTTCCTAAAATCAGTTTCAAAAGTAACACTCAGGATTCCTTCAAAAATTAAACAGGATGACCACACGATCCAACAATTCCACTGCTAAGAATATACTCCAAAAGAACTGAAAACAGAGACCTGAACAGATTATTTGCCGACGTGCGTATTCAACAGCAAAATTCACAACAGCTGAAAGGTAAAAGCATCCCAAGTCTTCACCAACATGAATGGATGAACAAAATGTGGTCAATCCATCCAATGGTGTATTAGCCTGACACCTGCTGCAATGTCTTGAAGACACGAGGCTCAGTGAAATAAGACAGTCACAAAAGATAAATATTTTAGGATGCTACTTATATGAACTTCCTAGAGTGGTCAAATTTACAGAGACAGTGAGTAGAACGGTACCTGCCAAAGGCTGGGGGTACCATGCTAGGGAGCTAGTGTTCAGTGGGGACAGAGTTACAGTTGGGGCAAATGAACAGGGGCTGGAGCTGGGAAATGGTGAGAGTGTTGCCCCCAAAAATGTGAATGCACTTGATGCCCCCCACTCCACAGTACACTTAAAATGGTTACAATGATCGGACGCTTAGGTGACTCAGTTGGTTAAGCATCCGACTTGGCTTCCGCTCAGGTCATGATTTGGTTAAGTCATGATCCCGGGGTCCTGGGATTGAGTCCCATGTTGGACTCCCTGCTCCATGGGAAGCCCACTTCTCCTTCTCTGTCTCTCATGAATAAATAAAATCTTTTTTAAAAAATGGTTACAATGATAAATTTTCTGTTATGTACATTTTACTACAGTGTTTTTGAAAAGTAACACTCGGCCCCCAGCTGAAGGTCTAAGCTGAAAAGACAAACCAGAACCCAGGGAGGTAGGGCAGGTGTAAAGAAGTTACACCACAATGAGCTGCTGCCCCTGCTAAGCTGAAGCGAAAAAAAAAAAAAAAAAAGAAAAGAGGACACTGAAAACACACTGTAGCAGTAAAGAAGGAAGGGAGAGAGAATGGAAGACCGGAAAAGAAAGAGAAAGATCTAAAAGAGAGAGAAATACATTTTGGAAAGACCAAGAACCCAGACCAAAACAGAAGCAATCCCAAGAGTGCTTCACACTGTAAAGAAGTTAATAAGGGGGTGCCTGAGTGGCTCAGTGGGTTAAAGCCCCTGCCTTCAGCTCAGGTCATGATCCCAGGGTCCTGGGATCGAGCCCCGCATCACGCTCTCTGCTTGACGGTGAGCCTGCTTCCTCCTCTCTCTCTGCCTGCCTCTCTGCCTACTTGTGATCTCTGAGTGTCAAATAAATAAACAAAATCTTAAAAAAAAAACAAAACACCTACCTCAACCTTCATTTAAAAAAAAAAAGAAGAAATTAATAAGAATATAAATTCAGCCTGGGTGGTTCACTCAGTCAAGCATCTGCCTTCGGCTCAGGTGATGATCCCAGGGTCCTGGGACTGAGTCCCACAACAGGCTCCTTGCTCAACAGGGAGCCTGCTTCCCTCTCTGTCTGCCACTCCCCTTGCTTGTGCTCTCTCTCTCAGACAAATAAATAAATAAAATCTTAAAAAAAAAAAAAAGAATATAAATTCAGCAAAGGAAAAGCTCAAAGAAAAGAGGATCTTTTAAAAAGCATGAGATGAGGGGCGCCTGAGTGGCTCAGTGGGTTAAGCCTCTGCCTTCTGCTCAAATCATGATCTCAGGGTCCTGCGATCGAGCCCCGCATCGGGCTCTCTGCTCAGGGGGGAGCCTGCTTCCCTCTCTCTCTCTGCCTCCCTCTCTGCCCACTTGTGATCTCAAATAAATAAATAAAATCTTTAAAAAAAAATCACGAGATGAGAAGTTAGACTAGAGAGCTAAAGTAAGCAAACTGAGATGCAAAGCATCACCAATAAATTCAATGAATACATTACAAGTGCCCTGGGAGTCCTGGTGACACCTGGGAGGCAAGCAGCGGAAGAGATCAGAAAGAAGACGGAGTTCGTGGCATGGAAAAAGCAGTGAGAAAATACCAGTGAATGCAAGATTAAAAAGGTGAAAGAACACAGGGAGAGGGGCGCCTGAGTGGCTCAGTCAGTTAAATGTCTGCCTTCAGCTCAGGTCATGACCTTGAGGTCCTGGTATAGAGTCCCACATCATCATCATCATCATCATCACCAGCATCCTTGGGCTCCCTGATCAGAGGGGAGCCTGTTTCTACTTCTCCCTCTACCCCTCTCCCTCTGCCCTTCTCCTCTGCTCATGCTCGCTCTCTCTGTCTCTCTCTCTCTAATAAATAAGTAAAATCATAAAAGAAGAAGAAGATGATGATGACGACGGCAGGGAAGAAAGGAAAACACAATCAAACTTAAGGATAAGAGGCAACCATAAAACTGATACTGAGATACATATTTAACAGAAACAGAAATCCAAGCCAATTTCCCAGAAATGAAGAAGAACTAAATCTGCAGATAAAAAAGACATTCCAGGGACACCTGGCTGCCTCAGTCAGTGGAACATGAGACTCTTGGTCTTGGGGTCATGGGTTCAAGCCCCATGTTGGGTACAGAGATGACTTAAATAGCTAAAAACTTGAAAAGGGAGAGACAGAGAGAAGGCCTTCCAGGTACTAGGAAGAATTCTTTCCAAACAATTAATATCGAGGCATATTCTTGTAAATTTTTGAGCCCTAAGGATAAGGATAGTGTTATGCTTGCGGTCTCCTACGAAGGGGAAAAACGAAAACAGATAGCAGACCACTCCACAGCAATATTCAGCAAAGAAGACAACGCACCAATGCCTACAAAGTTCTAAAGAAAATTTCCAGGAATAATCATATACAAAGTTGTCATTCGGGCATAAAGGCAAGAAACATTCTCAAATATGAAAGAATCCCCTGAAGGATGCGCAAAGATGAGTCTTTCCTCAAAAATCCACAGGTCAGTGAAATCCAACCAACCAAGCAATAAATCAAAATGAAAAATTCAGAAACAGAGAAGTTGTCGTCAATGTACTCCTAGTGCACGATGAATAACCTTAAATAGCAAAGTAACACTAACAGGCCAAGGGACTGAGTCTTATTTTAAAGAATATAAACACCATAGGCAATAACAAAGTAAAAAGGAAAAAAAAAAACGTAAGTCAGTAATAAAATTCAGGAAGAGGTCAAGGAAGCAGCAATCTAATTACTTCATTTTTCATTACAGGAAACCAATCTACTCTATCCTATCCAAAAACTGAAATAAGCAGAACATGATTTTACCACAAGAGACAGTTATTCCTTTAATGATTTCCAACTGCTTCTTGATTTTCATAATTTCTTCTTAATTTTAGAGGGTTTTATTTTTAGAAACTGTTCTCTTGTGATTGTTATTTTTCACTTTAGTCTCTTCCTCCTCTGATACATTTGAATAAAATCAAATATAATCACTTGAACATCATAAACAGTAAGAGCCCATCCTTTTATAAATCCCTTTTCTCAGGGTGCCTGGGTGGCTCAGTCAGTTGAGTGGCTGCCTTCAGTATAAGTCATGATCTTGGGTCCTGGGATGGAGACCCATCTTGAGCTCCCTTCTCAGTGGGGAGTCTGCTACTCCCTCCCCCTCTGCCCATCCCTACCTCTCACGTATGTATGTATGTATGTTGTATGTGTGTACTCTCTCTCTCTCTCTCTCTCTCAAATAAATAAATAAATAAAATCTTTTTTAAAAAATCCCTTTTCTCTATGTATGTATAGGCTGTCTGGCTGCAAACCTTCCCATCCTTCTTCCCTCTATATAGAGATACAGAGAAGTGTCAGTCAGACACCCAACGAAGGGGAAGGAGAAAGGGCAGAGCTGGATTTCTTCCTCACGCTTCCATACTGCTTGAAAGTTTTATAATGAATGCCTATAACTTTCATTTAATACAATGCAGTCATTAATTTTAAACGTAAAGATATGCCAGAGAAATACTAGCGTAGACAAAGAAGAATGGCAATATTGATATCAAACAAAAACGGAATTAAGGCAAATACATTGTAAGGACCAAAGAGGTATATTTCATGCTGATGAAAGGTCCAACCCACCAAGAAAGCACAGTATTCATGAACATTGTACCTAATAACATAGCTTTGACATATAGAGAGCAAAAATAAATAGAACACAATGAAAATCTGGTGAAAAACAAGCATAGGGGAGATGGATTTTATACATTTAACTCAGACATCAACCATTTAGAAGGTGACAAAAATAGATAAGAATGAAGAAAAAAAAGGAATGCATATTATTTCAGGGGACCTAGCTGGCTCAGTCGATAGAGCATGTGACTCTTGATCTCAAGGTCATGAGTTAAAGCCCCACACTGGGTGTGGAGACTCCTTGAATAAACTATTTTTTTTTAAAGATTTTAATTATTTATTTGACAGAGAGAGCGCACAAGTAGGCAGAGTGGCAGGCAGAGGGAGAGGGAGAAGCAGACTCCCTGCTGAGCAGAGAACCTGATGTGGGGCTCGATCCCAGAACCCTGGGATCATGACCTGAGCTGAAGGCAGCTGCTTGACTGACTGAGCCACCCAGGTGCCCCATCTTGAATAAACTTAAAAAATTATTTTAAAAGAACACATATTAAAAAAAAAAAGAACACATCTTATTTAAACAACACAATTAACAAGCCTGATCTAATAGGTATATAGAGAATTTTGTACCTAACCAACAGAACATCCATTTTTTTCCCAAACACACTAAACATGCTTTTAAAATATGTACATTTGGGGTGCCTGGGTGGCTCAGTGGGTTAAGCCTCTGCCTTCGGCTCAGGTCATGATTTTGGGGGTCCTGGGATCGAGCCCCACATCGGGCTCTCTGCTCAGCGGGGAGTCTGCTTCCTCCCCCCGCCCTGCCTGCCTCTCTGCCTACTTGTGATCTGTCAAATAAATAAATAGAATCTTTACAAAAATAAAATAAGGTAAAATAAAATGTGAACATTTATTAGGGTACAAGAAATCTCCACAAATTTCCCAACCCCACACCACAAAAAACCCACACAAAACAAAACACCAGAGAGCACATAAACCACAACCATAATAAATTAACAATGAAAGTGCTATGGGAAGCTTTCTCCTGGAAGCACTTGTGGTCTCAGGTGAATAACAGTTCTGGGTGTCAGACAGCTCAAACTCCTGATCTGCCCCTTACCAGACTTTTCTAACTTTGGAAAGGCCCTTAACCTCCCTAAACCTGGGTTTCTTCACTGTAAAGCAGAGATTAAAAAAAAAAAGAATTTCCCCCAGGGGCCTGGCTGGCTCAGTCTGTAGAACATGAGACTCTTCATCTCAGGGTCATAGGTTGGAGCCCCAACCTATGCATAGAGATTACATTAAAAAAAGAGCGGGGGGGGGGGGGATCTCCTAGAGGTCGTAGTCCGTCTAAAAACGGATGCAAGGGTGCCTGGGTGGCTCAGTTGGTAAAGCGACTGCCTTCAGCTCAGGTCATGATCTTGGAATCCTGGGAACCAGTCCCACATCCCACTCCCAACTCCATGGGGAGTCTGCTTCTCCCTCTGTCCTCCCCTCTCATGCTCTCTCACTGTCTCTCTCTCTCTCAAATAAATAAATAAATCTTAAAAAACAAAAAACAAAAACGGATGCAAAACATCATGGCTGATATCAATTCACAAATACAGAAGGGTAAACTGAGGCACCAGGGGGCCAACTCAGAGTCCAGCCAGGCACCAAATGTGGTTGCTCCCCACCTTCTCTGCCTACAGCCCAGAGGGCTCCCCCTCCCCGGAAGCTGCCCCTGCGGGGGAGAACAGGGCCCTTACCTCCAGAACAGGTCACGCAGGCCTTGCAGCGGCCGTCCCTGTCCAGGTAGTAGTCGGGAGCGCACTGCTTCCTGCAGTCGGATGACCCCTGTGCGCATGGCTGCTGCGAGGTGTGCCCTGGGGAAGGAAGCAGAGAAGCTCCAGGCCGAGCCGCCTTGGCGAAGACCTCACCTCCCCAGACTTTAGCTCTCGTCCCTGAAGCCCTTCCCAGCTCCACCCTTCAACCCACCAAACATGGTCGTCCAGCTCTCGGGTTCTACGTGGACGCATTGCGGGGCAGAGGGCAGACCTCGCCTAAGCTCAGCGAGCAGGCGGGCGAAGCAGCCCGGCTTGGGTGGAAAAGCTGGGCCCGGGGGTTCCCACTGCGTGGCTTGGGCCAGTTCCAGTGACTCATGGGCACCATGAGATTAGCAGGATCCCCCGTTCGGGCTGTTGAGCGGGGTAAAGGTGAAAGATGGTGAAAATAAGCAGGTGTGCTTGGCGCACAGCAAGCTCCAGAGGGCACCGGCGCCGGTCATTCGGGCAGGAGCCCTGCTTCCCTGCAGGAACCGGGGAGCCCGGAGTCCCTAGACCCTGCGGAGCCTCAGCCAGCCTGACTGAGATGCGCGCAGATCAGCCAGCAGCCCCCGAGTCCCATTACACACGGACGGGAGGTGCACGGCGTCGACACCGACTCCCTGCGGCAAAACCGTAGAGCGCCTTCGCCTGCCCACCCAGCTCTGGGTCCAGGGACAGTCCTAGCCGGGATGCCTACCACCCACAGCTTGAGCCCGTATGGGCACGTGAGCCAGAGAAGCCAATCAGAATACCTCATCCTTCGGGGTGGGCACATGACCCCAAATAGGCCAATCAGAATACCTCGTCCTTCGGGGTGGGCACATGACCCAGACAAGCCAATCAGTATACATCTTCCTCACCACTCTGCTTCAGAGACACGTGAGCTATGTCCGCCAAAGAGCCTCATCTCTGAGAGTTTCGCAAAAGCTACCCGTGAAGACCGCTTCTCTTTATGGTTGGATTCCTGGGGCAAAGGGCAGTTGAAGTCCCCAGCTGCCGGGTCGTGGCAGGTGCGGCGTGGCCACAGCCTGCCTGAGAAGGAGGTGATTTAGACGCAAGCAGAGTCCAGGACGGAGAGAAATGGACCCCTAAGAGCGTCCAACCTGGATTGAGGGCGTCCCCGTCTTCTCTGTGTTCAAGCCGGATCTTTCTCTACCCTCACTCTGTTCGGACGAAAGTAAGTTAGGCTGAACCATAGGTCCTCAACATTCCTTGTGCCACCTAGTCATTCTGGGGAAGCGGGGGACCCCGCTGGGAATCGTGTTTCTAAAGTGCATAAAGTACAGTACATGGGATGACCCAGGAACCTAGCTGTGTGAGAGCACCGTTAACAAAGCATTAAATTATTTAAGTGATGGGGCACTTGGGTGACTCAGTGGGGTGAGCCTCTGCCTTCAGCTCAGGTCATGATCTCAGGGTCCTGGGATCGAGCCCCGCATCGGGCTCTCTGCTCAGCAGGGAGCCTGCTTCCACCTCCCCCCTCTGCCTGCCTCTCTGCCTGCTTGTGATTTCTCTCTCTGTGTCAAATAAATAAAATCTTAAAATAATAATTTAAGTGATTGCGATATCTGTGATTCTTTGTAAACTCATTACATAAAAATCTAATGAATATCATTGTTTCAACGTAACCGATGAGCATGAATAATGTTCGGTGATATCCGTGGCAACCTTGGTATCACTGCAAGGTATCAGGAGAATATCTGACTTATACTGCGGGGAAAGCTGCAGACACTACAAGACCGTTACTGTGCTTTGTTGTCTTAATCCACAAGGGAAGGAAGCATCAGAGGCTGATGAAAAGGAGTGAACTCTTTCAGGTCTAGGCCCCCCTGAAATCTATCCATGGACAACTTGGGAGTCCCTGGACCTCAAGGTAAGCCCCTGCTTAGAAAAATATGTGAGAACCTCTCAGAAATACAAGCTTGATGGCTGGCATCCTCTAGCTCAGAAAATTTCTGTAGCTCCCCAGTGGTCTTTCAGAGAGGTACATGTGACCCCATCACCTCTTGCCTAAAACTTTCAAAGCCATCTCGTGGCTCCCCGGATAGAGCCCTAGGTCCTTACCGTGGTTAAGGAGGTTCTGCCCACCTACAACTCCCTTACTGTCTAATCTCAAGCCACACTGGAATCTCATGTCCCCCAAAGGGGTCATGCTCCCTTCTGCCCCCAGGGCCTTTGCACAAGCTGGCCCTTTGCCACAAATGTGCCTCTCCCCTTTCCCCTGGTAAACCCTTGCTCAGCCTTTACATCATTGTCAGGGTGTCACTCTGTCAGCAACTTGGTCAAGACCCCTGTTATAAACCGTCAGAGATCCACGTACCTTGCCCTATGCCTAAGTCTGCTGTAATCTAATCTAGATGTGTAATCACACTTATTTGTGGGATACATTGTCTTAGTATCTGAATTCCTCCCATGACTGTGAGCTCCTCAAGGTTGAATCTTTGCCTTTCTGCCCCCCAGTGATTCCCCTCTCACAGGGCCTGGTGCATAGATCTGATCGATACATGCTCTGACCACCTAATCAATATGGACCCAGCCTCTCATTCTCAGGTCTCCCTCTGGCTCTGATTCCTGCTTTGGCATTACTGTTTATGGCTCCCTTCATGGGCTCTAAGCTGCAGCCACCACTGGGTACCTTGGTCTTTTCTCTGGCACCCCTCCTATGTCCTGGAATGTTGTAATGGGTTGAATTATGTTCCCTGAAAGAGACACGCTGAAACCCTAACTCCTGGTATCTCAGAATGTGATCTTATTTGAAGACAGGATCCATACAGAGGTAATTAAATTAAAATGCAGTCATTGGGGGTGGGCCCTAATCCAAGATGATAAAAAGGGGGGAAATCTGGATACAAGACACATGAGCACATGGGAACACAGCCAGATGAAGACTGGACTCATGCTGCCACCAGCCAAGGAACTACCAGAAGCTGGGAGACAGGCAAGTACCTTCCCCAGAGGCTTCAGAGGGAGCATGTCCGGGCCAGCACATTGATCTTGGACTTCTAGCCTCTGGAACCATGAGATAACCCATTTCTGTTGTGTCCATCTATCAGTTCATGGTACTTTATTGATGGCAGCCCTAGGGAATGAATACAAATGTTCTTCGCCCAGGCTGACGAATCTATCCATCTCCATTTCTACCCACTGGGGATCCCTCTGAAGCCAACCAGCACAGGCTGAAACACCATCCCCTGGTGGAATTTTCCTTATCTTCTGACCCCATCCAGTACCCCTCTCTAGATCCCTTTAAAATCACCTCTCAGCGCCAGGGGCTGTTTGGGGCGATCTCTAGAAATGCCCCCTGCTCCAGAAAATGTATTCAAGGATTCAAGTGACACACTTCCTGGTGGGATTCTATTTTCACTCAACTCAACATTTATTGACCATCACCTCTGTGCCAGGCACTGAACTTAGAAAGTGGAGAAGGTGAGATCCCTACTCCCATAGAGCTTATCCTCGAGCCTAGAGGAGGAGAGGCAAGCAAGTACAGAAAGAAATTGGCAAGTCAGTTTCCAGTGTGTGAACAAACTTGGAAGAAAATAAAGCAGGAACCAGAAGAGAAGGCAGAGGAAGAGGCAGGAGAGCTCCAGAGAGAGGGATCAGGAAGGCCTTCCTGAGTCCCCGAGGACTGAAAGAGGCAGCTACACAGAGGGTGTGGGAAGATCACTCCAGGCAGAAGGAACCACCTGTGCAAAGGCCCTGGGCACAGAACAGGACATGCCAAGAACAGAAAGTCCATGGGGGCTGGAGCAGACGGAGCCAAAGAATTATGAGCCCTGATTCATTTCTATTTTCTTCTTTGCCCATTTTCCACACAGATTTTCTGCACTGAATCACTTTCAAAATCAGAAACAAAAACGGCGGAAAAAGGCTCAGGGCCTGTAGAAGCTGTGCTAGAATGGGTCCCTCTGTCGTGATCTGTCTCCAGCCACTCCCCCTCCATCTCAGGGCGCTTTGCTGACTCCAGATGTTCTCAAAGTTTGTGCTAACATTCCCGCACCCCCTCTCACCTCTGGCGCAGCATCAGGCAACCAGGCCCCCAGCTGCTTTGGCCAAAGAAACTCTCACACTGAGAACTGCTCTGCACTTCGTCTGGCAGCCAGCCCCTCCTCTGCTCCCCCTACATACCCTGGGCTCGGCCTTCTGCCAAATAGAACCCTCCCAATTCTCCAGCAGTCCATCCTGCTCCCCTCGAGGCCTTTGTGTATTCTGTGCCTCTGCTCTGAGCACGCCCCCTCCCCACCTTGGCCCGGCCAACTCCTGCTCATTCCCAGGAATCCTTTTCCTCAAGGAAGACCCCTCAGTCAGGTCACGTGCCCTGGGAGTGTGTTCCCATGGCTGCAAGCAGCACCACCCCAAATTCTAACAGCCTGGGGCAATAGACACATTTTGGAAGGGCTTCCTAGCCCACAGGCTGCCCTTCTTGGAGAATTGTCCTCTCCCTCAAGCAGTGGCCCCGGGCCAGGGGGAACCAGAGCAGAGGTGGACATCTGTACCGTTGGATGCTTTCTTCTTGGGCTTTGGAATTGGAACTGGAAGATGTTGGTCATGTGTCCCTCTTGGTGAACGAGGGAGAACAGACTGGAAAGGGAACTGTGGGCCTTCCAAGCTTGACCAAGGGCCGGAAGGCCAAGGAGACTTCCTCCTCCTCCTTCCTGCTCACAGCCCTTGGAGAATCCCCTCTGCTCCTGGGACATGATGGGGTACACTCACACAGCCCCAAGCAAGCCATGCTCTCTGTATAACGTGGGACCTGGCTTCACGATGTCCCCCCACGCCCACAAGAGGCAGGCTTCACACATCTGCAGGATCCCCTCCTCCTACTCTGGGCACTAAGGAGAAGGTGATCCAGGAAGGAAGGGGCAGAATAGGAGGGGGTTTGTAGCCCCCACAGGGGCTCCTCACTGACATGCTCTGTCTTGGGGGTCAGCACCAGCTAAGGGGAAAGAGCTCAGGTTTCTGAGTTAGCCACACTCAAACTTTCTGAGATAGCCAGTAGGGGCTCCGATAAGGCCCCTGCAGGCTACTTACTAGCATATGACCGTGGGAAAATCTCTGAACCAAGTCCAAGTTTCCTCTCTGGGTTTCGTTTCAGGATCCAGTAAGCTAATGCAGGTGAAGGGCTGGCATTGTGGCCAGCACAAAGCATGCTCCATCGGCAATAATTGTTGTCCTTGTTATGAAACAGTGAGTGAGCTCCCCATCACTGGGGGTGTGTAAGCAGAGGACTGGGGAGCAGTTGTCAAGGATGCTACAAAGGGCATCAGAGGCTGGGTGAGAGGAGAGACTCATTGACATCAAAACTTCTCAGTCTCAAAGGTCTCTCAGTTTCCTTCCTCCAGCAACCCACCTCCGGCCAACACTGCCACACAGCTCAGCTGAGCCTGATTGCACAGGGCGGGCAAAATGTCAGAAATTTCCCCCAGAGACCGAGGAAGGGGTTTTTGTGGGTTTTTCTCTTTTCCTCTTGCTTGCCGGAAGCACCAGGTCAATAAAACTCCAGCAAAATGCCCCGCCCACCACACCAGCAAGAGGCGCTCAGCCGCCCCCGGTCACTGGGCCACAGAGAGAGAACGTGGGGGGACGGCAGCCCTCTCTTCCCAAGTCACAGCATTGAAGTGGAGGGCGCTGGGGGACACAGATGTCACTCTGTCTCTGCCCACTACACCCTGTGGGGACTGTGCCAGGCAGGGGTGAAGGAAGCTGGAGAGAGTGGGAAGAAAGTGTCTGTCTTTCTTCCTGCAGCTGGAATTATGGGTCCCGTGGAAAGTCACAGAGCCCTGTGCTGCAGTTGTCCTGACTGCTGTTGTCCTGGGGAGAAGCAGCGTGCCTCCCGCCACACAGCACTGGGCTGGTGAGGGAAGGCTTCCTGGAGGAGGCAGTACCGGGACTGCAGGAGGTGGCGGCGGTGGGAGAGGGCATCCCAGGGCAGACAGGTATGTCAAAGGCCTAGAGACTTGAAGCACAGAAGAAAGGCAAAGGGGAAAAGGGTGGAAAAGGTGACAAGTGACCTCATGATTAGTTGAAGCAATAAACGGTTGTTGGATGGTGGGCAGAAGAGCACACGGAAGTGGGAAGGGAGGAGTGGGTGGGTGGATGGCGCCGCATGGGAGGGGGATGGTGCTGTGGCCCAACTGTGCCCCCCTCCAATCCACATGCTGAAGCCCTAACCCCCAGTGTGACTTTATTTGGAGACAGGGTCTTCAGGAGGTAATTAAGGACAAATGCGCTCATGAGAGTGGAGCTCTGATCTGACAGGATTGGTGGTCCTTACAAGAGAAAAAGGAAAATGTATCTCTTTTCTTGCTCTCTCTTTCTCTCTTTCTCCTTCAGCCATGACAAGGGAGCTGTCTGCAAGCCAAGAAGAGGAGACTTTACACCAGAAGCCCTGCTGGAAACTTGATCTTGGACTTTCTGGCTTCCAGAAGGTCTGGAAACAAATGTCCATTGTGAACGTGCCCCACCCCCACACCCCACCCCCACTCCCCATCTGTGGTGTTTTGTTATGGCAGCAAGAGCAGCCTGAGCTAGATGGGGGCATGAGTAGGGGACGGGTGGCAGAAGGAATGGGGAGGGGGTGAAGGACATAGGACGGGGGAGGGGTGGGCAGGTAAGAGAGTGGGTGAAGGGTTAGGCGGGGGATGGGCAGGCTTATGGGGAGTTGGTGGGGGGCTGGCCAGTCAGGCACAGGAGTCCCAGGCACTAAGGGAAACACAGGCCCCCACCTCATATGTACCTCAAAACCCACACAAACCCATAAAATAAAGGTGAGAAAATCCAATAAAGTTCTACTCTTTTCCCTACCATGACAACTTTGAAACATTTTTGGAAATAGAAAATATCCAATTCTTTTCTAAAATGTTGTTCTGGGTCCTTGCGGGGCGGGGGGCGCTGAGCTTGGGCTCGGTCCACCCTTGCGGTGGAGCAGAAAGGCTGTAGGTCTAGGGACAGACTTGGGTTCCCGTCTGGCTCAGGCCACTTACCCTGGATGATTTTGTGCACCATGGCCGGGAGCCACCCTCCAGACAGCAAAGCTGGCAGGCTGAGAGGATGGGTAGGTGAGCTCCTACCTATCCCGAAAGTCACCCCCTACTTCCAGTGGCCTCCTGTCCTCCAAGCACGAGGCAGTCCTCACGCCCTCCACAGCCAGAATTAGCGTCTTTCCCACTCAAGTCTGCACCCGAGATCGGAGACCATAGTTCAGCTCTAGCTTGTGTCCCACCCAGCCAAGGCCACTGGAAGTGCCTTGGGAATTTTGGTAACAACCACAAGGATGACACTGGCTCACCACCCCGTTCTGGCCGCTCGCCTCTTCGGGCCAGAGCCGCCCCAGCCCGGTGAGCGTGGGCAAGCTGATAATCTACTCAGAGCCAGTCATGGTGCTGGCGCGGGGTGAGCCTCCCAGGAATGGGCGCCGAGCAGGGAGCCTGGCTCCAGAGAGATTTAGGGTTCCGCTGGCCCAGAGATAAATGCGCATTCTGGGCTGGAAAAGATGAAGACCGCAAAGGGCTTCCAGACTCAGAAATGAGGGGCAGTCTGGGGGTGTCGAGAGCCCAGGTTCCAGGGTCACAGAACCCTGGGCTCCTCACACCCCCCCCGCCAGCCCCCCCATTTCCCAGCTCTGTGACCTTGGGCCAGCTACCTAAGCTTACAGCACCCACGACAGCCTCATCTACAAAATGAGATTAATAAAGGATACTGAGGAGCTCGTGCAATGCTTCTGAGGTTCCCAGACCGGCGTGCGTATGGTAAGGGTTCATAAGGGGTCAGCCAGGAGCTAAGAGCAAAAGCTTCAGAAATCTAGACCCAGTGTGACAATGACAACTTGGTCTTTCATCTTGCCCATTCACCAATCACCCCGGAGTTTTATACCTTGAGGACAAAAATCCGCCCCCCCCGGTCCCTCCCCAGCACCCCCACTCACCCTCGGGGCAGCGGTAACAGCACCTCCCAGTAGTCTGGTCGTAGGAGTGGTTGGGGCCTTCCTTGCAGGCATTCCTCCGAACTCCATCCTGAGGACGGGATACATTGGTGAGACCAGGCTGGTCCCAGACACACATCCCTCCTGCCCTTCGGATCCCAGGAGGCTGGGTCTCCACTCACTGTCAGCACCGGGTCTGAGACAGAGCCTCAAGTTTTAGAAGAGAATCAGGACAGGAACAGCTGATCTCACACCTGCCTCCGACCCGCTCCCTTGGGAGGGGGGAGTGTGATGGCAACTCTAGCCTTCCAGAACTCAGCCCAAAACCTGGGCTCTGCCCTCTCCTCTCATGCTCACATCCAACCCATCAGCAAACTCTCTTGGCTTCTTTGGACCAATGTTCTCCCCACCCCAACCTCCTCCACCTGGTCCCGGTCCCCATCCTCTCTCCCCTGGATTAGTTAATTCAGTTGCCTCCTACCTGGCCTGTGGCATGGACCGAGCAATATAGCAAATCTGTTTGTTGTGGTCTATCATGCTCTATAGGAAAGTGCACACATCTCAGGGACATACCCACTGAATTTTTCCAGTGTGACCATGTCTCACAGCTGGCACCAAGATCAAGAACCAGGACATTGCCGGCACCTGGCACCCTCCCTCGTGCCCTTTTCCATGAACTACATGCAAAAGGCACCCGCTAACCCAACTTCTTCACCATAGACTGGTCTTGTTCAGCTTTTGGGTGGGTAGAATGATCTCTGTTCTCTTGCAACTGGCTTCTTTAACTCAACATTACATTGTGAGAATCACCCGCTTTGCTGCAAATGGCAGTCGTTCGTTCAAGTTCACTGCTGCGTAGTGCTGAGTCCCGCGAATGAATAGGCACAATTGATTTATCTAGTCTACTCTTGATGGACCTTAGTATTTCCACTCCTGATCATTATGAATAATGCCACTAGGAACAGCCCTATACATATATTTTGGTGCACAAATGTACACACTTCTACTGGACTCCACCCCGGGGGTGGGGGCGGGAATTGCTTGGTCATAAAGTGTGGTATGCTCAGCGCTGATAGAATCCCCATCGTTTTCTAAACTGACTCTTCACTGCAGTGTGTAAGTGTTCCAATCGTTCCCCATCCTTGTCAACATTTGGTAGAGTCAGTTTTAAAAATTTTAGCCATGGTGCTGAGTGTGCAACGGCCTTACATTGTATCCTTTATGTTGCATTTCTCAGGGGCATAACGATGTTGGGTATCTTTTCACATGTTTGTTAGCCTTCTGGATATTGTCTTTTATAAGATACTCATTCAGGTCTTCTTATTTTTTTTTTAATTGGATTGTCTGACTTTTCTTATTGTTGTGTGAGAACTCTTTATATATTCTGGATACAAACCCTTTGGTAAACAAATGAATGGTAAATATCTTCTCCCCTTCTGTGGCTTGCCTTTTCACTTTCTTAAGGGATCCTCCCCTTTTTTAAGATTTTATTTATTTTGTTTCAGAAAGAGAGAGAGAAAGAGCATGTCAGTCCAGGGAGGGGTAGAGGGAGAGGGAAAAGGAGAAAATCCCAAGCAGACTCCACACAGAGCATCGAGCCTGATGCAGGGCTTGATCCTAAGACCCTGAGATCATGACCTCAGATGAAACCAAGAGTCAGATGCTCAACTGACTGAGCCACCCCAGGTGCCACTCTTAAGGGAGACTTTTTTTTTAATTAGTTTATTTTTTAAGATTATATATTTATTTAAGAGAGAGCAAGTGAGAGAGAGAGAGAGAAAGAGAAGGGGGAGGGGCAGAAGGAGGAGAAGCAGACACCCCACTGAGCATGGAGCCCAATATGGGACTCATCCAGGGACCCTGGGATCATGACCTGAGTGGAAGGCAGACGCTTAATGAACTGAGCCACCCAGGCACCCAGTGAGCCTTTTGATGAACGGAAGTTCTTAATTTTAATGAGGGACAACTTATTCATCTTTTCTTTCATAGTCAATGTCCTTTATAAAAAAATACTTGCGAGCCCAATGTCATTCAGATGCTCTCCCACATTACCTGCTCAATGATATCCCTTAACCTTCCTTGTCAGGTTTCATTTTGGCGCATGGTGTAAAGTAGGGGTCAACACTCACTTTTTTCAGGAATACACATTTTAACAAGTTCCTGCATAGGCTTCCAGGGCTCTTTAAAAGTTAAGTCCCTTTGTCAGAGGGAGCTTAAGAGAAGAAAATCTCTGCTGACATCCTGGGGGAGGAACTTTGTCCTTCTGGTGGAATGAAAGGGAAGCACGGGGTACCTGGGTGGCTCAGTCAGTTAAGTGTCTGCCTATAGCTCAGGTCACAATCCTGGGATGCTGAGATCAAGTCCTGCATAGGGCTCCTGGCTCATGCTCTCTCTCTCCCTCTCAAATAAATAAAATGAAAGAAAGGAAGAAAGAAAGAAAGAAAGAAAGAGGAACATAAAGCAGGTTTCTAGGCTCCAGGAAGGGAGATGAGAGGGAGAGGTGAGAGGGAAGGAGGGAGCTATGTCCCACCTCTATATCAGCAGCCTCCCGGGCAGGCGGTGCCTGGCAGAGCCCAGGTGGCCACTTGTAGGATGGATGAGATGAACGGGCTTTTCTGGTTTAGGGAGAAAACAGAAGCCATCTCCTAACCTTCCCCCCATAGGGGAGATGCCTGGCTGGTCTGAGGGGCTTCTCTACTCTTCTCTCCAGCCAAGGGAACAGTGAACACTAATGAATGAGTACTTCCATCATGTCAGAGAGCAGGAGAAGGCCAGTGTGGCTGGAAGATGGAGGTGTAGTCTTGATTATATTATCCTTTATTTTTTCTTTTTGCAGATCTGAAATGTTACCATATAAATGGGAAATCAACGTAACCTGACATTTGTGCCCCACCAGTCCCATGGCATTTGTGTACCTCCTTTCTCACTTAATCCAAAGCCCCAGGACTTGAGACCACGACTTGAGGACACTCTCTTTACCCACCCACACCCAGTCCCCTCCCTCCAGCAGGATCTCCTTCTTCTCCTGTAAACTGGGGAGCTTCTGGGAGCCTCGCTAGGGACAGAGACCTGCCTGACCCCCAACATTTAACCAAGTGAGCTTGGATGCCTACAGGTGGAGCTGGGTGGGGGTGCAAAAGTTCAGGCCTGCTGAGTGTGGGGAAAATTCTGGGTCGTTGGCCTGGGTTTTCCCCTTCTGGCTGCCCACTCATCTCATTGATAATTATGGACTCTGAGGAGGCTTTAGGTCCAGGCCCTGCTCTCTCTCCAGGGTCTGGGACGGGGGAGAAGCGGGGGGTGCAGCTGACAGGAGGCTGAATTCTTACACTTCACTTCCTGCCACCACATCCTGAGTCAGTGGGGGACAGTGGAAAGTGCAGAAAAGAATAGGGAATCCATGGTATTGCCTGTTATGCCCCCCACCCCAGTCACACATCTCCTCCTTTATGGCACTGTCAGCCCTCTGGGGCCAGATCACCCCTCCCCCATGATAACAGATGAGGAAACCACAGCTCAGAGAGGCTCAGTCACCCACCCGAGGTCACACAGCAACTAAGTGCCAAGAGGATATTTGAGCTTCACTGTGTCCCCAGTTCTCTCCCCCTCTCTGGGCCACATGCTGCCCATCTAAAGTAAAAACAGTCTATTGTGCTGAGAAGGACACGGTATCACATCTGTGGTCTTTCTACCAGAAGTCCATAATCTGAATCAAATCATGAGGACACAGCAAATAAACCCAAACTAAGGGACTTTCTACAAAACAACTGGCCTGGACTCTTTGTGTAAAAGAGAAAGAAGAGCTATGGAATGCTCCAGAATAGGGAGACTAATGAAACAGTGTGGCTGAATGTGATGTCTGGAATAGATTCTGAATCTGAGTGGGGCTATAAAAGAGAATATTGAGGGCTCCTGGGTGGCTCAGTGGGTTAAGCCGCTGCCTTCGGCTCAGGTCATGATCTCGGGGTCCTGGGATCGAGTCCCGTATCGGGCTCTCTGCTCAGCAGGGAGCCTGCTTCCCTCTCTCTCTCTGCCTGCTTCTCTGTCTACTTGTGATCTCTCTCTGTCAAATAAATAAATAAAATCTTAAAAAAAAAAAGAATTAAAAATTAAAAAAAAAGAGAATATTGACATAGATGGTGACATTTGAATATGGACTTTATATTTGATTCTGTGTTCTTTATGTCTACATGAAAGGAGAGAGAAAGATAAAGCAATTGTACAAAACCACACCTGCCAGTAACAGGTGCTCAAATAGAGATGGCAACAATTTTCACAATAAACCCTGTCGATCCAAGGATGCCACCAGGGGGCGCTGTCTTCCCGCGGTCCCCAGGGGCGCTGGTCCCTCAGCCTGGATGCCCTGGAAGGAGAGTGGGGGCCTCATTCTCATGTGGGGCTTATGGGGGAAGAGGGACAGAGGCTGAGTCCAGGTGGAGGCACAACTCAGCGCCATCCCCCAGCATCCACCGCAGATGCCCTCAGACCGCTGTGGCTGGCCTTCTCCCGCAGACAGTGGGGAATTTTTTTGCCTATGACATCATGCATGGTTTTACAGGCGCCCAGAAAATGGGGCCAGAGCAGTGCACACGTGCTGTAGAAGTCACAACAATAGTTGTTGAACCCAACAGTCCTGAGAGACCCTACTTACTACCCCAAAAACTGATCTCGGAGTGGAGAAGGACCTGCCCAACGTAGCACCTGGTGGCAAGCAGGTGTCAGGCAGGATCTGAGTTGGGGTCAGGGGACTCCTGGCCACCCTGACCACTCCACGGGGGCGTTGAGCCCCTACTGCCCGTCAGAGAGCTGACCTGCTCCCCGAATACTCTCTAGGAGCTGCTGCTCCCATAGGGGAGACAACCCCACCTTCCCATAAACTAGAGAGAGGTGGCATCTGGGGTCCTAAGCTTCACCTACGCAGCGCTGTGATGCCCAGAAGCTGGCCCATCCCACGCCCCAGAGCCTCACCTCTGCCCCTGCTCTTGCCTATTCCTCTGCAATCTCCCTGTTGGCCCCCAGGTTGCCCTGCACTACTGCCCATTCACACAAGCCCCTCCCCTTCAGCACTAGGGCAGCCCCAAGAAGGCTGACCCC